TCAGCGAAGAAAAGTTAGGTTCGGAAAGGTGGCTTTCATTGTAAGAAAGATTGTCATTGGATTTCAGCAATGAACTTCAGTCAATGCTGTCGATATGTGACTAAGCGGCGAATACAATACGAGGGGAACAAGCTGCGGCGCATCATACCTATGTTCCATGAATTAATTCACTATATTTGCTTTCCTATGTGACTAAGACTACGCAGAATAAACCTGCAAACGCCAATTCCAAACCTGTCTGTAGTTCGGTCTGTTCTGGGGTGTAGACTAGTATGACCGACCCCAAAATTGACAGCCCGCCAAAGACCATTCCTATTCCTCCTCCGACTTTTTTGATCTACTAGTACCGATCCATAAGAGGATTTACTAAGGGCTAGTGTGAATGGCAACGACCTCAATTCGTGGGTGGTTAGGATTCCGGATGACGGCTAGCAGGACGATGGCGAGCAGCAGCTCGATGGGGGTGTTCTAACTGTTTGAGATCTCAGCCCAGCCCACATAAAGAAGAATCCTTTCCTATCTCGTTTTTATGGGTAGGTTGCCGCGTTATCCATCCGGAGGTTCAGGTCAAGTTCGACGCAGATTTTAATGCGTTTACTTACCCTAGATCTCCCCGTCTAGTGCAAATCACCTAACCATCGAATACAAATATGGATATTGTGACATGCTCTGTCTAAAGAAATAAGTCTAAAATAGCCAGTGAGACCTACTTAATATTTGTTCTATTATTTTCCCTAAATCAGGTCGGTTTCATTGGGGCGTAAGCAAGAAGCATCAAAGCCTACTTTTCAGAGATGTCTGGTTGCATTCGATGCTTGGATCTACGACTCTCTTTGTCGTTCTCTCAATCTCAGGCCCTCGGCCAAAAAGCATCCCAGAAGTGGTAAGCATATGATGTCTAATCTAGCTACAACCCTCAATCGCAGACGCATTGGGGCAAGCTATCTGTGTTCGTGAAGAGGATGAGTATGCTGTATCCAAGTTAGTCGGTTCTCCTGGAAAAGGCGGCTCCTTGGCTACCGATTGTTGGTAGTGTCTTACGGGATGAGTGCCAAAGTTCTTTCTATTCTGTAGCCATAGTTATTAGCGGCTCATGTACTCCGTAATGCGACAAGAATAATAGTCCCTGCTGGGTAAGCAAGCAGAGGAGAAGGCGCAGGTGGCCCGTTTTTTCCGTGATCGCTGCATGATTATCCTCTCTGATTGGAAGAGGTGTAGGACTGCTGCATGCTCACAGGAGCCCGGACCTTGCTGAATAGAGGGACTTCTCAACCAACAGCATCTGAACTCGCACGCCGGGCATGAGTTAAAGTGGGTGCCTCACTCGATTGCGGCTGACTGCCAGCCAGGTGAGGTACCAATGCAGCTAATAACCAACGCAGGAGGGGACGGCTACGGAAACGCTCTGAGATGAATATTTTGATTGTGATCGTATTGCAATTGAGCTTGGACCTCTCTGTTTCCCACAGCTTAGGAAAGGAATCATGATGTGTATAAGACGAAGATCATAGTTCAATGTTTCACATCGATTTTGTTAAGCCAAAGGGTACGAGAGTCACGGAATAAGGATGGGACGGTATTATAGCGGGTTCAACAATACTGGTCTCTGCCCTTGTTATTAGTTTCGAATGTTGAATGCGATGTCGAGCCTACAGGTCATCCGTCTTATCCGAGCACCGTTTGTGTAGGCTCCCTCCCTCCCCCTGCTCCCGCGTTGCCGCTTTTCCGGTCTGATTTCAAGATGACTCAACTGTGCATATGACAGAAATAGAATGCCAAAAGCCCAATAATGTGACCCTAGCTTCCAGTACCCGGCAGCTTCGATTTCATTGAGCTAGCGCATGATGGCATTGCTGCAGACACTGAGTTCCATGAATAGCATCTGGTATTACCACAATAAGCTTGCATTCCGGGGATAAACGGCCTGCCACGGACAGTGCAGATGGTGGTAAAGCAAAGCCTTCTAGTATATTAGTGTTGTCTGTTGCCAAGACCAAAAACACCTGTGTTCCTCAACGCCTTGTTCGACTTAACTACCAGATTACACTCACTCAAATTCCTGGTAGAGTAGTGTATTGCCGATTATCGAAGCTGCAACCATGCCATGGGACGGTGACCAAAACGCTTGGCGACAGACACAAGCCCAACATATATCCGCCCAGCCGCAACCCAGACATAGAGTGTCTCACCAGTCGCGCAGTGTCTTTACAGCTTCCCAGGCGCCAGCACAGAGGGTTTCACATCAACAACGAAGCCTCTTCAGAGCTTCCCAGGCGCCAGCACACAGAGTGTCTCACCGGCAGCGTAGCCTTTTCAGGGCTTCCCAGCTACCCGTGCACAGGGCTTCCCACCAGACGCGCAGCCTCTATGGCGCTCCCCGCCACGACACATACAGAAATACTTACCATGATATCCCCGACGAGGCCGAGAAGACAAACCGCTCATATATCGAGGAGGAGGATGTTTCGGAGCGCCTAAACTTCTGCGATGCCGAGGTCAAGCTCATAGAGAAGCCCTTCGAGCAGGACCTGGATTCAGAAATCCCAGGGCAAGTTAGGTTTATCAGGGTAAGTGCCCTGGATGGATCGCTGATGCCTCCGAGACGTGACTAATATGGAATGGATAGAGAGACGCGGCATCGAGCATAGAGGTTAGTATCACTATGTCGTCTATGTCGTCGACGCCTATTCATTAAGACTCTCATAACATTGAACAGTGAATTAACGCCCGTCTCTGTCACAGCTCTTCTATGATTTGTGGTTTGTAGCCAATCTTGCTGTATTCTCAGCATCCAATCCAATTACAGAAATGGCGAAATTGAAAGTTTTTACCGCATACTTCGTGTGAGTATTCTTATCTGTGTCCATCCTGAGCCCCCCATTCTTCCAATGACATATCTAATTTATCTTCTTTAGACTCTTGTGGACGACATGGTTCGTAACTACAGTCTACATGGCCCGATTTGAGCACGATAGTATCTGGGCACGCATTGGCTTTACTTTCCACTTGGCCTCCATTATTGGTTTCACAATCCTCGGAATCGGGCTCAGCAATAAGGTTCTGCTTCCGTCAGTTATACGGATTACGAGTATGCCATCTACCTTTTGGCCTTCGCATAAAACACATAGCCAAGATGAAATGTCACTAATGATATCTTATATCAGGCGTCACCATGGCATTCTCCAGATTCACCCTCGCGACGCAATATATAGTTCTGTTCTACCAATCCCGCAAGTTTGTGGATAATCGAGACTCTTTTCTCACAGCGACCATGATTCAATTTGCCCCAGGGCTGATATACCTGACTCTTGGCCTTTCGGTCGATTGGTCCAACATATATGGAAACGGTGCGATCTTTACCATGTGGTGGATTGTTGCACTATTCGAAATCTTCGTCATTCTAGCACATTCCGCAGTCTCGGAAACTATGACCTTTGAGGGAACTCACATCGCCGAGCGTATCAACATTTTGACCCTTATTGTTATTGGAGAAGGTAGGCAAGCAATTGAAGACCTACCTCTGCCCCAGCCTACCCCGAGCGAACAGATACTAACATTTACTTTCTTCTGTTTGAAGGGGCCACGATTCTTACAAAAAAGCTTACTGTCATCATGGACTACACTTATATCCACCAAATCGCAAGCTCCTGGAGTACGTGCGCATCTATCTACAAATAGCAGCTTCTTTGTAAGGGAGCCAATTCAACTTACACTTCTTAGCCTCTGCTCTCGTCGGTACCATCTTCTGTGCCTCGGCTATCCTTTATTTGTGCTTCATGCTCTACTTCGACATGATGCCTCACCACATCCACATGAAGGCTCCCACGCTTGCCCTGTGGCTTCTTTTCCACCTACCCTTTCACCTTGTCCTAATTCTACTATCCGAGGGCACTGGACAGTGGGGCATTATGTGGCGCGCCTCGGAGTCGATCAACGAGATCGCTGACCAGCTGAACGATGTTGTCGACAAATGCAATTCCACCGCGCAACTTGGCAGCAAACTTCAAGATCTGACCTCTAATATCATGAGTCTGTACGGAGCCGACTCCGGGAGCGATATCACACTAGTCCAAGATTCAGTGACCAAGATCAAGAACTTGCCCGACAGCGCCATGTTGGACAACAGCGCCAGCAACCCCCTTCTCAATGCGACTTCTACCATTTTGACCACCCTTGGAAAGGCCATCTTGAAGTCCTACTACATTACTACGAGCAAGGACGCTGGGGATCTCAGCGCAGAGGATTCAAATAAAAAGGCTATTGATGAGGCATCCGACAGGCAGCTTCTTGTGGTGAGTAAACTAGAATAGGCCCATAGTCGTCACGAACAAACCAACGTGCTGACAAATCCATCTTTACAGCTTACATACCTCTTTATTAGCGCAGGCCTGGTCCTCGTCCTTATGATGGTCCTACATGTAATCGCTAAAAAGAAGGAGTGGACTATGTTCAATATGTTCCGTGCCGGATTCATCACGATGACTGGGGCCGGCCTTGCTCTGGTGGCCCTTGTTAACAAGAACCAAGGCAGCGCGGAGAAGTTCTTGGATAAGCCATGGCAGTTGCCCATCATACTTGTCTGCTTTTTTGTTTCACTGATGCTGGTTCACTTCAAGCATCCGGCATAGCCACCTGCTAGAAGTCCAAGATGGGTCTTCAACGCTGGGGCACAATGGATGGTTTGAGCCAAGTCAAATCCTTCATGCTTTTTCTTCTCTTTCTACCTTCTTCATTTTTCCCCCTCCTTTTATTTTCTTCATGTCATCAGCAATAGTTTCATGTAATTTCCAAGGTATAGATTACAATTATGGCGCCAAAACCGTAGACGGTTTAGATGGAATTAGTACATAGCGATGCATTTATCTTAGACTCCAATTGCCTTTTGATCCATCTGGTCACATACCAAAGGGTTGCTTTTTACGCAAGAGTTATATTCGCTTCTAAGCTAAGTACTTGAAAGATAAGAGTATTAGAGAGAATCTATTGTAGCCCATAAACGCTCATAATGTGGGCCTCAAAGAGTCGTTTTCGCCTAGGCGGCCCAGGTAAGAGGTTGTAGCACCGATGTGTAGCCGATTTCCAGAAAGGGAAGGCTCGCGGAGAATAGAGAAAGTAACAGTAGCGTTGTCTGGATTTTCCAAAGGTGAGGAGGATATGGAGTAGATGCATCGGCTTTTGAAGTTCTTATTGTATAATTAGCCAACGAGCAGGGCTTTCTTTGTACTTACCATTGGCGAATAATCATAGGCCTCAGCATAGACAAGAATAGACATGGCGGGATAGGGAGAGCCGCCAAAAGATTAAGGGTGGGCATCTTTTTGTCGACGATCTCTTTGTTGAAGCTATCCCCGGCCGGGCATCCCAATAATTCGATTGTCTTGTCTCTGTCAGCAATATCCGCAAGCTTAAGTATATTCTACATTATAATAGAATTCATCTTGAAAAGGGCTTTCCAAAAACAACGGCAAGCCCATGGAACAGGATCCATTCCCCCTTGGTGGCTGGCTGCGTTAGCTCAACATACGAAGCCAAAACTTCTCCAGCTAGCATAGACATCGACTAGTAGAGATACAGGTGAATTGGATGTGATTTCAAAGTATGAATCACGGGTGAGTCCGAGACTTCTCATTACGCACTGCACAGCCTCGGGAGGATTGAAAGGCAGCACGACGAGGGAGTCGCCTGTTTGGTATTTCATACCCTTCGGCAACTTCACCTCAAGATGCACCTTCGTAAACCTTTCTTCACAACCCTAAGCAAGTGTCTTCGACTCAATAATGACAGCTTGTTTCAAGTTTTGCTGGAGAATGGCTGTTCTAGTATTTGATACCATAACGTTCAGGTTGCTTCTCTCGGTCGCCGACCCCTGAAGTGCCATAGGGCTCCTTTAAAGCCGGCCAAATGATAGCATCCTCCCGGACCTCAAAGTCGGTAAAAGCGGCGCCGGTTGAGACAGTTGTCTTACCAAGTTCCGCCAGCCGCTGTGCACCCAGCTCTTCAAGCCTGGTTTCAACAAGCATTGGGATCTTGTGGAACGAGGTGACCCATTCACTATTACTACAGCTAAAGACAGCGTGCGACACCCTCTGGAATTCCTTTCCTATCTCCTGTCGAGTAAGAATCCAAGAGACTAATCGTTCAGCATCATAAGGCGGTTCATCCCCGTATGAAGCTGCCACGATCACAACAGGATGGTCGGAGGGGAGCGAGCCTAGGCACTACCAAGGCTATCGGGCTTCAAGGCACGGAAGCCGTGCATAGCGGCATCAGCTGCTAACTTCTAGGCCCATGCCTTGCAGGTACCAGTATTCGAGCCATGCAAAATTGTCATTGAGAACACCCACATTTTGGTCATCTGTCAAGATATCTTTTTGTTTGGATGGCAATTCCGGGTTGGTCGAAGACCCAGTCAAGCGACGTTCGAGCGCTTGGGAGGTGAGATTGTTTCTAAATTTAGCGCGCATTTTCAACCCGCCAGGTTTGAGGGTCAATGGTTCCTTGCGTTGAAGGATATAATTGTTAGGCTCAAGAGTGAGCTCAAAGTTCTGCAAAAAAACTGCCATGGTGATCAGACGCTCTTGCCAGACACAAGCCCTACCGATACACGATCGTTTGCTATCGCCAAATGGCTCCCGGTAGTTGGGAAACTATCTTTTGAGATTGTTGAAGTTCTCTTCCGTGATCCGCTCCGGCTTGAAATCATAGGAACTTTCGCCGCAGACGGTTGGATCTCGATTGAACAGTGCTACCTGTGCGATAATTCATTGATCTTTATTGACACAGTACTTGCCGCCGAGCGTTGTGTCTTCCTTACGAGAGAGACCTATTGTCGGAATCGTTGAGTCGATCCGAAGAGCTTCGCGGAGGGCGCCATTGATATAGCCCAGCTTAGAGATATGGGCCAATGTGACTGGCCCCTTTCCACGTACAGGGTCGACCTCTTGTTGTGTCTTGGCAAATGTCTCTGGGTTTTTGGGAAGATGATAAAATGTATCAGAAAGTATTCTGGAGGTTGTCTCATGCCCGGCCACGAGGAATGTCATAAGATCGCTGATGATGCTATCATCGCTGACTCGTTGGTCTATCTGTGCTTGAGCATAGCAGCCAGTGAATCATGATCTTGCACTTGTTGACCGCTCTTCCGGGCATTTAATACCACGCGAGTAGTAGAACGCATTTTTCATTATCTTTGTAGGATTTCTGAGCCTCAGAGTGGTAAAACATGCCTGGCAGTGACCTTGTCCCTCGGTCACCGGCCTCAGGGAGAAAGTTAGCCATGGCTTTGATAAACGGATTCATCTCGGATGAATAAAAGCTGTCGAAGCCGAGACCCCATGGAGCAGAGCCCAATAGTGTCTAAGGCCATACACGTAAAGTCTTCGGTGTCATTGATGTTGGTGCTAAGCCCACCAAGTGCCCATTTGAGAACAAGATGTGTAGCTACCTCACTGCATCTCCTCAACCAAGGCACGGATCGTTAGAGGGCAAAAACGCTGGAATTAGAACTCTTTGAGCAATGCACCAAGGCTCTTCGTTCGTGTCCGCGTACTCAAATTTTCAATAAAGGTCAACGTCAAGGGGGTGTCTTTGTGAGCTAAAGGAGGAGGAAGTAATCTTACAGTAAAAAAGCCATTCTTGAGACCAGGTCGAAGATGCTTCAGGGGAAGTGCATTCGTTAGCATCCTATTTCACGGTTAGAGAACGATATATCTCGACGGCTGAGCGTCATACTCCTAGAAACTAATACAATTTTCTTCTGGACACGAGGTTCGCCGCACTCTCATTGACGGCTTGATTGGGAACGAAAACCAAGTCTGTTCCAGGAAATCGCAGATGATTGATACCATCTAATAAGTTAAGGAGCATCATTAGCAACGTCAGTCGATGGATTACGCCAATCTTCTCACGTACCAAAATCGCGAGCTATTTGTATCACCGATCCATTGAGTTTGCAAGTTAAATCAGGTATGTGTGACAAATAAATGGCAGAGCCGTGGCTCGGGGACACTGTCAAGCGCAGCCATGTTCGAATGAGGTCTCGGGCGTGTCAAGGATAGTGAGGGAAATGGGGCTAACAGTGTATAAAGCTTGAAAGGATGAACTTCTTCTGCCTCCTGCAAAACATCTCATCGTTTGCTCATCACACAATAGGCTGTGTTCGGCTGGCGCACAAATTGTGTTATGACAAAACTTATCATGAACCAAAAAGATTACATTCATAAGCCACCTGGATCCACTAAAACCCACCCAAAGTACCCTTTTCCGCTGGCATAATGTTGTGCACTTATTAACAGATTGAATGTACCTTATGATTAAAACCTTTGCTGGGCTACCTAAAGAGGTTAGAGGGAAATCGGTACATCTGTTGGATTTGCAGAAGAAACAGACAGATCACGCTGGGCACGGTTGGGCATTCAGTCGAGGTAGTCACTTTAGAGGGGGTGGGAGAGGCACGGCTGTTGTTGCAATTCACAAAGAGTGTACTGACTAATCTTATGGTAATACAAAGGAGGTGTGCATCAGAATCATCGAGGCCACATCTGCCTCCCCTCCACTAAAAGTCCCTGGCGCACAGGAATGATCAATGCCCCCGCCAGTGACGATCCGGTGATCAAGAGCAAGGGACCAGAGACAGGTTGGTGCCAGACAATGGCGGGGAAAGATGATTGTCAACCATCGACGGGCAAGGACAGGCGTGAAGCAATGATGCGGGACTGAGCTGGCTCCTATGTTACTTGAAGGCCAGCCTGGACATCGCTGTTTTTTCCCACTCTCATATCCCTTGCGTTGATCCAGGAGCGATCAGTGAAACCTCGTTTAGCGGCTGCTTCGGTAATACGAGTTCCGATGCTTATTTTGCTGTGGTCCCCTATCCTCGCTCCCGTGATATCCACGTGGCCCTCCGCAACAAGCTGGCGGTTGATTTCTATTTCTTGAAAGAGATGAGGGTTGTAGACGCGGGCTACCTCTGCGAGTTGCTCAAAGTCCCGCCTTGCTTGTAGCTTCAGCGCATCCGCCCGGCGCGTGACCTCACCGGTATTGGCACTGGTCGTAGGCACTAGCACCTCGAGATGCTCAATGACGACTGTCAACTCGTTGCAGATACGTCTAAGCCGATCGCAGTCGGTGACAATCCACCTGGCACGTTTTGCGGTGTGACCGAAACGAGTGCTTCGAAAGAGGGGCTTGAAAATGTGGCGAAGTCGATCAGATCTTGTTGCAGTGGTATCGGCAGGAGGCTCGGTAGACTCGTCACTGTGTGTCCGGAGGAGTTGGCAGGCATCTTTGAAACGCCGATCAATAACTTCCAGGAATTTCTGAGCGCCTTCGACATTTGGAATCTGCCGCACTGACCCTTCCCCTTGAGGGAATGCGCCTTTCTCCCATTGGGTAAATCGGGCAGCCGTGAAAGTGAGCATTGCCCCTGCGATCTGGTAGTCGTCCTCGAAATCATCAAGGCTGCTAACAAGTTGAACCATCTGGATGATGGAACTTGTCAGCCCAACAAGGCCGATAACGCCTACGGCCAAGCCTGCGGCTTCGGCCATGGCGTCTGGCGAGATGGCCGAGAGGGGTTGATGGCAGGATTTACGACGTAGAGTCGCCACCACGAAGATACAGTAGGAGAATAACAAACGATATCGGAAGAGAAAGAGAATAAACCTCAACACCGATGAGACAAACGATATCAAAAGGTTGATGAAAATGGCCAGGGAACTGCAGAGTAGCCGTGATTGAGGAAACGTGAGAGGATCGCGTAGTACTCGTCTTATCTACTTCGCCAAAATGTTTAGGGAAATTTGGCACTGCTGCACTGAGCCGTGCATGCGGAATGTATTGGCGCTAGCTAATTTGATTTCAGGCAAGCCAAATGAAGATGATCCATCATGAGGCCACTTGAGGCAAGCCACTTGTGTAACAGGACGCTTGCCCATTTCCAAGAGATATTGCTGGCCCGCAAGCCCCGTGGCACCAGCCCCCAGCCCCCAGGTGAACATATGAAGAAGATTTCAGTGCTGGTCTACTTGGAAATTTGCCGCTTCCTTCTGTCGTGTCTGGTCGTTCAGAAAGCTCCCTCATCTGTACGCAGCGAGCTGCGTAATTGTGGCCGAAGTGGCGTTTTGCCCTGTCTCACCATACTGCAAGTATCCTCATATGCGCAAGGGGTCTGGCCAATAAGCTATCTAACCTCTCTCTATGACGACGGCGACTGGTTCCTAAGCCCATGCACTCCGTAGCTAGCAGACAGCTGATTATTGTTTGTTATTTCCACCGCTGGAAGCTGAGGCAGCCTAATATGATGAGGCATTCAGGGATTTAACCAATGAGCTATCAAACCTTCCCCCCGGAGGGGAGGTGGCTGGTCCCTAAGCCCATACACTCCGTAGCTAGCAGACAGCTGATTATTGTTTGTTATTTCCACCGCTGGAAGCTGAGGCAGCCTAATATGATGAGGCATTCAGGGATTTAACCAATGAGCTATCAAACCTTCCCCCCGGAGGGGAGGTGGCTGGTCCCTAAGCCCATGCACTCCGTAGCTAGCAGACAGCTGATTATTGTTTGTTATTTCTACCGCTGGAAGCTGAGGCAGCCTAATATGATGAGGTATTCAGGGATTTAACCAATGAGCTATCAAACCTTCCCCCCAGAGGGGAGGTGGCTGGTCCCTAAGCTCATGCACTCCGTAGCTAGCAGACGGCTGAGTATTGTTTGTTATTTCTACCGCTGGGGGCTGAGGCAGCCTAGTATAATGAGGCATTCAGGGACTTAATCAATGAGCTATCATGCCTCCCCCCTCCAGAGGCGGTGATTGGTTTCACGTACTCCGTAGCTAGCAGGTGTCTAGAAAGTGCTCCTAATGCCCAACCCTGGGAGCTGAGGCAGCCCGGTGCGAGGAGGTGCCCAGAGACCATCGGCCTGGACCCCCGATACTTCTCGGGCAGTAACAGATGCTTTGATAATACCAATTACCATCACTCAGTCGCTGGCTTTGTTCTCACGTACGCCACTTGTTGACGCCCCGACAAATCAAATCACACGGAGCAATCTCTCGACACATTCAGAGAATTCCTTTTGGAAATATACCCCAATAATCGGCCCTTCCGCCGGTTGAGGTAATAGCTTTACAACGCCTTCCTCCACACCCTCACCTCTTTGCAACAGTCGCAATGGAAAGAGGGTGGCAGGATTTCGAAGACAGCCTGGCTACAGGTAGCAAGGATTATGCTCCGGTGTCGTTTTACGGACCAGTGATCTATACACCGGATCTCAGAGCCGGCGATAACAACCAACTCATTTTCACGATCGGGCAAAAGGCCCCCACTGAACAAGAAGATTCGGTTGAGACCAAACAAATGCAGCTTCGTGATCACTTAGCTGCACATGACCCAACGTTCCAGGCCCAGCAATTGCATGGTTCGGTGGAAAATGCCTATGGTTGGATTTCCCAAGAGCAATCTTTCACACGCTGGATCAGCAACGATGGCCCATCAACATTGTGGATAAACGGCCCTCCTGGGATCGGAAAATCAACCATGCTTCGCGGAATACTCAAAGAATCTTCGCCCTCTAACCCCCCCGAGGCTGGTAGCGACTTCAATTTTCGCGACTTTAATCTGGCGTACTTCTTTTGTGATGAAAACGATTCCAGCCGCAGAACCACCGACGCCATCCTGAGGGCATTTTTGTTTCTTCTCATGGACCTGGATATCCCACAGAGCCTGGAAATTAAAGCAATGCTCATGGATCTCAAACCTCCCCCTGATCCGGCGTTCATTACAGCTCTTTTCTGGGCCTGTCTGGAACCAATCCGAAATTCAACGAAGAAGGTACTTCTCATCGTAGATGCGGTTGACGAGTGTACTGATTCAAACACGCATCTGCTTGACTTGATCTCCAAGACCATGGCAATGTCGGACTTTGCTCACCTTCGTTGGCTAATTTCAAGCCGCGAGTCGAGTGAGATCAAGCGTAGAATCAACCCGGAGAATCATTTGTACGAGTTGAAATTGCGAATGAACAGAGACAAGCTTAGGCCTGCCCTGGCTCAGTACATCGGGAACAGGGTCAGATCGCTGAATTTACCCCACGACGACCACCGAAAAGTCGTCTTGTGTCTGAGGAAACGTGCGCAAGGAATGTTTTTGTGGGCGAGGCTGGACTGCGACAGAATTGAGGCACTTCCTCAACGTCGGATATTGAAGGAGATGAATGACCGCAATCTCGGTCTCGACAATCTCTATGAAAAAGCTGTCGCCAGGGCTAGGAACCATATCACAAAGAAGGTGGGGTATTTCGCCACCACTGCCCAGACTAGAAGTCTTGATCGCATGTTGGACCTCGCAGCCATCGCCTACCGCAACCTGAGCTTGAATACAGTGAAAGCTATCTGGGGCTGGGAAAGCGGAAACGATGACTTAGCATATATGGAGGATTTGGTCAACAATAGTGGTCTGTTGGTGATGAAGGATGAGATGATCACATTCGTGCACTTGTCAGCCAAACAATATCTTCAAATGAAACATGGCGTGCAAGCCGCGATGTTACATCACTATCTGGCATTACGCTTGCTTGAAATCACGAAGTCGAAACTCCGGCCAGACATTTTGAAACTGGTTCGAAAAAATGTATTGGTTCTGGGCCATGGTCCGGCAGACATTAAAGAATCCGCCGACACTGAACAATGGGAACAATTGCAGGACACTTTAGAATATGCTTGCATTGAGTGGATGCATCATCTTGAACGTGCATATTTTCTGAACAATACTCTAATGGATGACCCGAAGACCGTGGAGGAGGTCTCTGGTTTCCTCACCGAGGCACTCTGCCCTTGGTTGGAGGCTGTCAGCCTCTTTGAAGGCTACTCAGCGATCATGATCCGCATTCGCTGCTTTGAAGATCTCCTTGCGAACTTGAGGCTCCGACCTGGAGGTTCTCTTCAGCAAAAGGAAAAGCGAGAGGATTTATATCGACTCGTTCGTGAAGCGCGGCAATTTGTTTGCTTCAACTGGGCGTCTATATCGGATGCCCCGTTACAAGCAACTTCCTCGGCGGCCACTTTCATACCCAAAAAGAGCCACTTTTGGAAACGCTCACACTCCTTGCGAAACCCTCCGCCTCCTTTACGAGTCCGCAGATTATGGGGCGAAGCCGACGATTGGGACGCGTGTGTGCTGTCGATTGTAACGGAACCAAGGTATAGTCCCGAAGAAGTGAGCTTCACGCGGAAAGGAGACAACATCATTTTGACAAAAAGGCATGTGGTGTACGGGAACTTGCAAGTCCAACAATAGGATTGGAGGACTGGCCAAGAAACTCGTTCAAGCAACATCAATCGAGGAACGGGGATCCTACTACCCTGTTCCCAACGCATGGTTGTATCTAACGGCCTAGGAAAAAATTATCCAAGTCAATTGGATGACAGTGTAATCGAAGTGAAACAAGTGGATCAGAAAGGAGCACAATTCCCTCCGCATCACAGGAACTATTACATACATAAGACCGCAAAATCTGAACTGACGATCCTAAAGAAGGATGAAACAGGTCAGATGAAAAAGGCGTACGAGTACCAGGATGACCATGTTGAATCAGCTTGCATCTCAGACAATGGAAAACTTGTTTGTTCTCTCCGCAAGGACGGGAGTGCCAGAGTCGAGAAACTTGATCAGCGAGATGGCACCAAGAGGCTTGTCGAAAAGTTTCATTCCGTCGATGCTGTCGTGACATGCGCCCTCTTCGCACCCCGCAAAAATATCTTGGTTATGGGCACAGAAGGCCGCAAAGTTCTAGTCCAAAAGATTACTAGAAGCAGGTCAAAGCAGCACCCTCCCGCTATTGAACTTGTGGGCCATTCCGGCAAGATATCCTGCTTGGCGATGTCCTTGGATGGTAAGCGTCTTGCATCTGGCTCACACGACTGCACTGTCCGTCTATGGGACATGGAAATGAACGAGCCGATATGTCTTGCTATTTATCATGGACACTTCAGCAAGATTCAATCAATCAGCTTCTCGCCGGACAATCGACATCTTGTCTCAGCCGGGCTCAAAGATATTAGAATATGGGAGATGAAGGATTGGAAAGCCCTTGGTTGTCCCCCGATTCTTGACAATTCGCTCGAATCAGAGCCTAAGAAAATGTTTTTCTCCCCTAATGGAAATGAATTGGCCATACTTTCAAAATATGGAGATCTAAAAGTGTTCAACGCTGCAACCGGCGAGCAGACACTCGAGGAAAGATGCTTGACGGATCCGAGCCCGGCATATTCTCCGAATGGAAGGTTTCTTATATTTCTCATGGAGAACAAGTACGTGATACGGGATACCGCCAGAAACGGGGGCTGGTACGAGAACATTGCTGAATCCAAGCCCTCCACCTTCATCTGGTCACCAAAAAGGAACCATCTAGCGATACTTCTGAACAACGGAGCTGTCGATGTTCTTAACATCGAGAATTGGAAGGGCGTGATCACACTCCGGTCAGAAGAACCGAAAGAAGCAATAACGGATGCTATTTTTTCCCCTTGTGGTGGCCATCTTGCTACTCAATGTGAGCAAAAAGGTTGCATCGTTTGGATGTTAAATTATGAAGGAGACTGGGTCGAAACCCACCGGCTAAACTACGAAGAAGAAGAAGAAGAAGTGGCCAGCGAGGTGAGCTACAGACTAGTACAGTTCTCAGAGAACATTCATCATCTAGTGGTGGTGCAAACGGAATCTCGAATTGAAGCAATGCGCATCTTCAGATTATATCCGCAGAGAGAACAACTCATTGGAAGTGAGTTTGATGATTATCTTGGCATGATTGAGTGCGTGGCTATTTCTTCCGATGATAAATTTATTGCCTACGCCGATTCCACCAGAGTGCTTCATATAGACAAAATCTCGGCTCAGAGTGCCACAGAACAGGATGGCCTAGGAGCAAATCCGGTACCCCAAGACCACATAAGAATGCCACCCGACCGTCACACAATGGCATCCGATGATGACACATCAATGGCATCCGATGATGACACATCAATGGCATGCGACGATTATTCAACAATGACATCCGACAATAAAATAGCAATGATATCCGACGATCACATCACAAGCCTCAGATTCATTGGAAGCTCTTCCGACCACGCATCAGTCTTGAAAGTGGGAGCAGCGAAACTTGATCTGAGAAAATTGCGTGCTCGCTACCAAACAAATGGCCACCTTAAAGACAATTCTATTCATCTTGATCGGATAGGATTGTCCGAGAATAGCTATGACCACTGCATTTATTGCGATTCCAGTCCGGTGGTTCAAATTCCGCCAGCAATCGCTTGCAGGCCACGAGCATCCATTATCTTGAAGCGTGGGTTGAAGATCGCTATCCAAAATGCTTATGGAAAAGCTTCAGTGTATGTGATTCGCGGGTTACCGACAAATAAACTTCCCAAACAGACCCACCGCTTTGAGCCTCATTTCCCTGAAGACAAGGACGATTACGATGATGAAATGTCTTCTAGATCTGATGAAGAGTGTGAGGTTGATGATGATAAAAGCCTCAAGACCTTTGACGAAGATGACTTGAATTCTTTTGACGATGGCGATTCCGAGTGTTTCGACGCTTCAGAGTCTTCTGATTCAGAAGCTTGGGAGCCGGAACCTCGTAAGTTGAAACCGTCAGATTCTCGTGAGCCGAAACTAACGAGTTCACACACTCTTGAGTTGAGCGATCTCGACTTGACAATGTGAGACGCATAGTCGCTTTGCTTCCACAAGGATAGTCTATAGGCTCTGAAATTCTCCCTCGGGATATTTACATCTGCGTTTGCTTTAGCTTTTCAATGGAGTTCAAAGGTATTGGAATAATTCACGGCTTGTATTGGGCTAGCCAGTGACAACTGGATAGATAGAAAAAGAAAGAAAAAACTTAGCGCAAGGTTCCGAAGGGCCGAGCTGATTGTCACAACTTATTTAGCAAACGAGGGGGTAACGCTTAACCTAAGAATAGTATGTCAATTCAAACCCAAGATTTCTTAGGAAAATTCCACTTTCAACACGCTTGGTCGTTATCTGCGACCAGAAGGTCTTCTTTTGATCTTCTCTTCTATGTATGAGGTATTCTATGGCGACCTGATTATTTGTGCCCAGCCCAGACGCTTGCGAGTTCTCTTTCTTTTGCGGTAACGTCGGTTTAACCAATCATCATTGATAATGGCTTCCGCCCCTGTTCGCTGTTCGTAATCGTACTTGAGAAGCTTTTGTAACAGGATTTCAATAGCTCTTTGTTCCGTTGCATGATCAATCACGGCAAGTCGGTAAATACGAGGGGGATCACCCACAACGAACGTCGAAGTACTTTCTTTGAGCAGGTCACTCAATGCCGGAATACACTTGGACTCGCTGAGCCTGGAAACATTTAGGTCCGGGCAGCCATAGCTTTCTAGATCCTTAACATTACCGCCCAAAGATTCCAAAGTTTTGACTATGCATTGCAATCGTTCTATGCGATCGGTGCTTCCAAAGTCCAAGAGAGGACGATTCATACGGAGCTCGTACAAGGTACAGCCCAAGGTCCAGAGGTCTGTGCCTGGGCCAAGAATATTTTTTAACATGAGCTCCGGAGGCTGGTATGATTCTGGGATATCTAGTGTCGAGGGCGGATCTGACTGCAGAAAACATTGGCCAAAATCGATTAGTGCGATATCCGATGTCAAGTATCTCCGGATACGTGCAGGATTCCAAGATACGGATCTTGATTTCCAGTCGCCGGCTCCTTTATGAATTCTTTTTACCTCCTTGCGGGGTTCTGCCCTTATTTCGCCTTCCCTTGCCATACGTCTCTTCCCACCCCCGAGAATAAGGCATACATTATTGACACGCTTGCCATCGAGTCCTTGGATCCGATAGAAAACGTTGGCAGGGATAATTCCTGGCGAGTACTGTTAGCATATTAATTTGCGAGAAGTCCCTCATATGCGAAATGGAAACTTCCCCAGTGAGAGGGGAGGGGAGGTGGGAGGGACTCACCGCCGTGACAGAGTTGTTGAGAGTGAATGAACCTCACTGCGTTGACCAACTGATAATACCCTTTTGCACATAACTTGTCATCACCGAAATGTCCCCACCTCAGAATCTCCAAACACTCTGACATCCTACCAGGCTGAGCCTTGGGCCCCAGGAGAGGGTAAACGAAACACTGATGATTTCCTTTTGGACCTCTGACAAGGAACTTATCAACAGGGAGGCAAATAGCGTTGTTTAGCTGGTTTCTTTGCTCTTTTTCTTCGAGTCTGTCGAGAGGCTTTTTGACATACTCTTCTACTAAGTGCTCTCGAGTGTTTTTGGAAGCATCAACGCTGAGGATTTTCACTGCCCAATATTTGACTGTCAAGTCGTAGTCATGGCACACCCAGACAGTTGATTTGTCGCCAAAGTTTATATTGAGCATCACTTGATATTTCGTTTTCTCCCCATGAAAGATTTCATCAGGTGTAACACTGTAATGCCCACCAGGGCATTCATTTTCATCCTCAATAAAGTGGAAGGGACTTTCATATTCGTCACTGGCAGGTATGAGTGATACGATGTCCATCGTATGCCCTTTAAAACGGCCCCGCGTTGCAGAAATCTTAGATGGCTGTAAAAATGACACCTTGGAGGCCTGTAGAGTTGGATTTTATTGTTTTTTGGTGTTGTAATCGTAATATCGAAAGAGAAACGAAGTCAAATATATGCTATCTAAATAAATTCCGAGACTTAACATATAGATGGGGAGAAAAAAAGGCAAACCAGCACAAAGACGCCGTTTGAACAATCAAGTGGGATTGGAGTGCATAGAAACCTAATAAACAAGTTTTAAAAAGAAAGAACATCTTTGATCGTGTTGTAATCTAGAAAAAGTCAATCTAAAGCTTAACAGCTGGGATTGTTCTCCGTGGATAATTTAAAATGGAAACATCATGTCCTGGTAATATTCTTTGTCTAATTGCAGCAGTGGGCTTTGTTCTCAATAGACGATGAGCCCTGTTGATAGATTCTTTATAAGAGTCTCTTGTAGCTTACAGCTAGAAGTATTTATCTCAACAAAGGAGAAATTAAAATAACCCATCTGCTCGCTTGATAAGACAAAGAGTCTAGTCTGCCATGGCCGACAATTCGTCACAAATTTCATGTCGCTGTGCACATCCTTGACCGAAAACAGAAGGGGGATTGTGTGAAATCTCTTTAGAAAGATGAACTTGTTCTGCCATTAACAGAAATATCATGGTTTATCATCACGGGAGAGAAAGAGAATAAGTTCAACAGCAATGAAGCTGCCAGGGCCCGCTAACTCAACTCAATGTCGTCATCACACACTATATAGTCGTACATTTACACATGTACCCGAGGCATTTATGCGGATGCTAAGTCACATGTCGGTATTAACCCTTATCTCTTGCAAAGCATAGCTCTATGACAAAACTGTGCGGCTCGCAGCCCCGCAGACAAAAGGACATTGGATCAGAGAGAACATTGCTTTAATCCCATGTCCCGGCAAACAGGCTCTATCCTGACGCCGAAACTCCTTACTTCGTTGGTACCTCACTGAGTTTCTTCTTCCCGTGGGTGTCCGAGTTTGGAAGGCAGACTGGGGATATCACTAAGCGGCGGTTTGGGTCAATCATCCTCGGAATGCTTCATTATATCAGAGGTAGTTTCAGCCAATCATAGAGAAGCGAAAACTAAAGTTCTATCCGCAAAAATTTTCGACTGGGGCATCCGCATTCGTAGATATATCATTGCTCAGGCGGATAGCTGAGCGGTATCTACAAAGTTTCCGAGCGATCTGCCAGTGGAATCCATAACACGCGGCCCGATATATTTTTGAATTTGCGGGCTTTTAAACAGTATAAACCGGAGATAACGTTTTAAAACGAGTGAGCAAACTGTGAGTTTAAGATTTAGTTGGTGTTGTTCTGGCGATCGTTATGTAACTCAAAAAGAAAATTGCAGATCTAAAATCAACCGAGTCATCAGGCTAAGGTGGGATAATGATCGAATGTTACTCGTGCTAGGTGACTATATCTATCAATAGGCAGTGGGCTCTATTCTGTTCCTATCGGTACGATCCTCCATCTCGCTAGGAAACATTTCGATTCAAGGTTCATTATCCAGCTTAGGCAGACACAGAAAGGTTGGAAGATACGGATGGGAGTTCGAGTATAAACTTAAAAACAGCAATCAAAGAAGCCAGACTTTACATCTCAACGCAATGAATACGGGTTGGAAGATCTTTTTGCTACCGCGCCACGACGCCTTTCATGCGCTCCTAATACGACGAGGTCACGTCGTCCCTTTATGGAGAACCTAGGCATGCTCAGCATTCTGGAGAGCTCGGCGCATCATATCTTGTTCTTCTTGGCCTGACGTATCCCCAAAAACCTCGTCCATCTGCTCCAAGGTCTTGCCCATAGTCTCGGGCACAAGGAACCAGGCCCAGAACCCAGATAGTGCGCAAAACACGGCAAAAAACACATAAGTACCGAATCCAATAGATTCAATCATAGGAGGAGTGGCGATTCCAATGACGAAATTGGCAAGCCAGTTCACGCAGACTGAAAGAGCCACGCCTTTGGCGCGAGTAGAGGTTGAGAATACCTCTGGTGGCAAGGCCCAGCCAAGAGGCGAATAAGACACACCATAAACGATGATGAAGAGGAATGCCATCGCAACGCAAGCCCATCCTGCTGCGGGGTTGGAGTTCCAGCTCTTGGAGTAGACACCGGCAAGAGCAGCAATCACGATATAGCACAGAGCTGAGCCAAAGCCACCCACGATTGCCAGAGGCTTCCTACCGACTTTATCGATAATAACAAAGCAGATCGCAACAGCAACAAGTTGCAGTATATTGAAAATGCCAGACAAAATTAATGACATCTCGTAGTCTTGGCCAATCGACTGGAAGAGCGTAGGTGCGTAATAAATAAAGGCGTTAATTCCGGAGAACTGTTGGAAGAAGCAAACACCACAGCCGACAACGACCCGGCGCCAGTTCTTCCTGTCGAAAAGGTCAAGCCACAGGAGAGCCTCAAGCTTGAGCCCAGAGACACCAGGGTGCTTTGCCTCCTGCATCAGCCTCTGGAACTCCACCTCAGCCACAATAGACTTGTACTCGGCTTGGACCCTTTCATCTGTCTCTGGAAGTCGCCGTAGTTTGCTGAGACTTATTAAGCTGTCCTGGTTGCGACCGACTAGGGCAAGCCATCTTGGGGAGAATGGAAAGAAATGGATTCCCACACCAACGCAGGTCGCGCATACCATCTGGAGCCCGAGCGGAAGACGGAAAGAGATAGGTCCTTCCATATGTCGCGTAGCAAAGGTGATCCAATAGGCGATCACAACACCAGATACAATAGATATAGATTCGAGAACGAGTAGAGTACCGCGGAGGTTCGGGGGGGCAATTTCAGAGATGTACAGAGGGGCGCCCTGCAAGCAGTCCAAGTCAGTATTTGTTTATAAGTGAAGGCAGATTAAACTTACCATCGCCAGGGTTCCAACGCCAATGCCACCAATAGCCCGGCCAGTCACCAGCATACCATAACTAAAAGCAGCAGTCTGGAGGATGGCGCCAATATTGAAAACAACAACCACAGCTGTTAAGGCCCACTTTCGTGACATCTTATCGGCCAATGTAGGCATGAATATACAGCCGACAAAGGCGCCAAGAAGAAGCATTCCCGTCATAAAGCTGGTGCCAAATGCCGTAGTAGTTTCTGGAATAACCTCGTGGAATTGCGGCATAACGTTGATAATAGATATAACTCCCTGGTCATATCCGAAGGAGAAGCCCCCTAGGGAGGCAAGAAAAGCAGCCCCAGATACATATGGAGAGACAAGGAAGCCTCTCATGCCACTTGGACCATATGAGACATCCTCAAGGATCACCAGGCCAGGGTCATGTTTGTGCTCGGATGTGACGTCGACATGTTCCGCCTTGATGGGCGCAACATGGTCACCGGAAGAGGCTTTGGCAGAGTCTGTCATTGGGCCAAGGGTAAAAACTGGTTCAGATGTGGATTAGTAGACTAGTACGAACTGGAATGAGTTGTCCAGTAAGTAGAATAGAAGCTGATGGAGGTCAGATTAGGAATCTCGATGAGGGGGCCATGCCAATATATATTCCTAAAGATTAATGACTAGGGCGTCTTCTGCAGGTGATCAGTCAATTCCGATGTTCATGGCTTGCCACGAGCAATATCCGGGGTCGACGGGGGGAGGCGAAGCGAGCTTCCCCACTGCTCTAGAGTTCGTGCGGAGGAATAACTCAAAGGCTGATTGGACATCGGAAAATCGGACCACAGCCTCCACGCAAGGTACGCTATCATCCACCATGACCAGACGAGTCTAGGGTCTTATTCTGAAGGCCTGGACCCTGGAGAGTACTGCCGGAATCGTAGTTCCGTTGTCAGTGTAGTGCGGTAGTAGCAAATATCCAAGCCATTATCCAAACCTTCCCCAGATATCAAAAGTACGTATTTGATAATAATGCAGTGAAAATGTGAATTGTCATCAAACAAAGTAGAAGAAAAAAGGCAAACTATCCCTTTAAAAGTTGAACCTCAGATGTATCTGCACTACCGATGTTCCGTGGTTCTCCACCAAGCCAAGCCCCATGGGAGTACAGGCCGTGTTACCAGTTCCATACATAACTGACTCATCCTAAAGCATAAATCTCACCCTTGAACTAATCAAACCAGCTCGGTCTGTTATAAAACCAGTTCGTCTTCCTGTCTCGAATCCTATCTAACGTTTGCATTCCATATTAGTGATGATCCGCACTTCTGTGAGCAGGGGTTGGGTCTTAAGATTAACTCACCGCATACCAAGATAGCACGCCTCAAAGTCCCCCTTAGTCCCGCTATGTTTTCATGTCAGCTCTTTATGCCTTTTCAATGGAAGCATTCATCGCTGTTAACGATATTTTGGCAGAGAGCTTCCCAGTTGGCTTAGGTCAAGAAAGCTACGCCCATCTTCTCCAGCGAATAGTGGAAAAGAACTACGGATGCGAATTTTACCAATAACTTCATTTAATCCTCGCGTTTAAGGTGGTTTAAAATCAGAATCTGAAGTCAAAGAGTTCGGAATTGTCGGATTTGGCACTATTCAGTCACATAAATACACTATTCTGCCCGTGCGGGCATCATATATTCAAATAAGACTGCCTATTCTAAGGGCCAAACCGGGAATGGACAACGGATTTTGTACCGCTACGCATCTAATCTTGAAAACTCGCAGTCATCAGCCCAGACTCCTTGGAGTGAAATATGCTACACAAAACCATCTCGATCACCGAAGCCTTGCTCCTATTTAGGAACCTAAAGATGGTCTCAATTTAAAGGAATAAGGGACAGGACATGTGAATAAAAAGGAGCTCAAGACAGCACGAGGGTTTTATGAGCAGCACTAGAGGACATTGAAGGATGTTCTCGGCGACGAGTATCCGAGACGATCCAAGATCTAGGCCGCCTAGTAAAATTCTTGAAAATGAGTAGAAAATCAAGAGCAGGAACAATTTACCAGGAGCTTAATTGGCCTAGTTTTAATTGCCTAGGCCCTCATGATGAGAAGAGGATCCACACCGCGCATACTCGGGAGATGCCTGCTAATGAAGGACAGGTTTGAAGAATCGGTGAGAACCGTGACCGAATTGTGCAAGCGCATGGGGAATGATACTAAGCACTTTAAATCCTTGAATGGTCTAGTGTTGGTAGCATATACCATCTTGTGACAGCGTCAAGACTTATACATCAAGACTCTGAATTAGCGAGGAAGATTGCTCGACATTTTCTTTCATTCGTAGAGACCCTCGAGGCGGGCGGCGTACCTCTAGCTGCATGCATTCAGAAATAGCTAGCGGGGCAAGCCATGGCATAGAGGGCACATTCTGTCAATACTATCTCACAAGTTTATTCTATCACCGTCAGAGTCCCAGCTTTGGTAGAACAAGTTCAAGTTTCTCTCCTAGTACTTCTGGTCATACCTTATCCAAGGAGAGCAAGACCAACAGAGTCCCGGACTTTTTTTCATTGGGAGGATCAGTCTACCCTTCCGCATCAATTTACTGGATTTGAAAAACGGGAAGAGAGCCAGTACAATTCCCGTTTCCATTTGAGGTGTAGGTCCCAAGTTTGTGGGAAAGAGACAAATAAGCTGGCTAGTCGGGATGAAAGTCTGTTAAAATCTTCCTTTAGATCTTCCTATGAGCTGGACCGAACTAACAATAACTACCCGTGCAAAGCCCGTGAGTGTTCTTGTAGACCAATAATATGATATCGCATCAACATATAACAGGCATGAAAGAAGAGCTTGTGCAAGTTCCGATGGAGCAGGCCTGATACCGACGGGAGAGACATGTGTTACACTCTGCTGAATTGACATCCACTGCATAATTATTAAGACTTCACAAGACGCGTGGAAGCTACCACCAGCCAGGCCCATTTCTAATCCCTTTGTTTAGGACGCGGTTTCAATCGACTTACCCGTGTGCTCTCATGCAGACACCTGATTGGTTACAGCTGATTTCCAGCGCGACATAAAGTCGGTGTTTTCTCGACTTAAAAGCTAAGACTTATCCCCACCCGCCTAGACCGCTCTAAACTCTGGGGAGCAGGTGTTGTGTGCTCAGCCGGACGGCAGTTCTATCTACCAATTAATCAGCCATGTGTTGGCATATCCTTGCCAATTCCCCAGCCTTGTGACATTCGGGACACATTGTTAGGCGCAAAGGCAGAGCGAAAGTACCACGGATGCGAGAATGCCGATGGTTCCCAAGACGGAATGAGTGACATCCCTTATCTGGAAGACTCAAAGACAGCGGCATTTCGTGCAGTGAGATTATTCCAGAACAAGGAAGTCTTGCATTGCCTGACATTAGCGCTTAGGCCAATCAGGCAGGTAGGGCCAGGCTGGCTGTGTCTCAAGATCCACGCCTCCAACAGCAGCAGCTCTGGACTAAACGGATCCGACGCGGTTGGTAAAAGTTCTTACAGATTGTCTCATGAACCAGCCTGCTTGCCAGACAGTCGCGTCATGAGACAAGTAGCGATATCGGTGTCTGTCTATGCATAAATAAAAGCCCCCATCTCGTATTGCGGTCCTCCCACCTCTGCTCTTCTGAATGTGTAGATCTCTTTAAGAGGCCGGCCGGTAGTTAAGCAGTAGCTCTCAAAAATACTATCGTGTGGGGTCCAAGATGAAGTTCCTTACCGCTATCATTCTGTCCGCTGCGACACTCGTTGTTGCCACTCCCGTGAGTTGCAACTCGCCAGTGCGTCTCTGCTTCACCATTTATTGACAATAATCACACAGCCCGGCATCCCTTCCGCGTCCAGCGCAAAATCTCTTCTTGATCGCCTAACAGTCGCAACCTTGACGGACGACGGATCATACGATCGTGCTCTCTTCCCCCATTGGGAGCCTGTCCCCAGTGAGACTCAGTGCAGTGCTCGGTTGGTCATTCTGAAGCTCAATTCCTTGTAGCCGAACGTAATGCTGACAATTTCCCTCTGCCAAGTGAATGGGTTCTGCGCCGCGATGGCAACAATGTGAAGGTCGGCAGTGACTGCTACCCTACCTCGGGAAGCTGGACCTGTCCTTACTCTGGCAAAACCATCACTGCAGCCGGAAGTGTCGACATTGACCATATGGTCCCTCTGAAAAATGCCTGGATTGTAAGTTACCGAAAGGAAGACTTAGATGACTTCTCCTAGTCAGCAAGAGTGATGCTAACCTGTGTTTCCCTTATTTAGTCCGGTGCTTCTACCTGGACTACTGCCAGGCGAGAGACCTTTGCCAATGATATTGACCACCCTCAGCTGTGGGCCACCGATGCCAGTACCAACCGGGCCAAGGGCGATAACAGCCCTGACAAGTGGAAGCCCCCTCTTACCAGCTTCTACTGCACTTATGCTTCTTCCTGGGTCGCTATCAAAACCACTTACAGCTTGAAAATCACCAGTGCTGAGAAGACTGCGTTGACATCCATGCTTAATACTTGCTAAGCCGGCGAGCCTCTCCTTCTTTATGTCACAGAGTTGGCCATATTTTCATAATGACTTATTGAGAATGATCAAGTAGCTTACTTCCAACCATGAGTTGTTTAAATCCAACTATGAATATTCGTCTTGAATGACTTCCAATGATTTACACTCAAGCACTTTATTCTCACTGATCTTAATTAGGCTGTTATGACATAAAGCTCAATGCACAATATGATAACTCTGATTTAATGCCGACGTGGACTGAAAAAGTTGAAGTAGAAACTTGATCGAATATGTGCTCTAAAAGATACAACCACTATCCCACATAATCAAACTCCGGCTTCGCGAAACATAGAAGACAATAACTGTAGTATCCCAGAAACTTTGCTCGATAGTAGACCTCAACTAAAAAGTTATCTTGCTCAGGAAGGAAATAACTCCTGGTGTGACAACGTCAGGATTCTCAAACTGAGGGGCGTGACCAGCACCAGTCACGGCAATAGTCTCAACATCTTCGAAGTTGGATGCAACCCACTTGGCCTCCTCCAAAGGCTGAGACCAGTCCGGGTCGGACTCGCCAATGACGACCAGACCTGGCACCTTCACCTTGCCAAGATAGGGCTCAACCACAGTATGGTCGCAGCCGGCCACGGTGGAGCGAAAGGCGCTCCATCTCCCCGGTCGCGTCAGCATTGCAGTTGTCGTGGCCGCGCGCTCCGCCGCCGCCTTCTCGCCAAGACCAGGCCAGAGGCCAGAGGCATAACTGCGCCATACAGTAGGCCCCCAAGGCTGTAGGAGTGCCATACGTAAGACGTAGAGCATCATCTTGCTCCCACCATTGCGGAGGAAGGCTCCAATCAGTACCAGGCCGGCGATCTTGTCAGGCTGTTTTCCTGCCGCAATGTAAGCCGCAGCGGCCGACATCGAGGCACCTGCGAGCACAGCGCGGTCTGCGCCCAGTGTTTGAATGATTGTGAGGTAGTCGTCGGCGGTCGCTTCGTCGCCGTAGCGGTTGAAGTTTGCGGTGCTGTCGCCGTGTCCACGCAGATCGACGCGGGCCACGCGGTAGCCGGCGGCCACGAGCTGAGCAGCCATCGGGGCGTAGGCTTCTCGGGTGTCGCCCATGCCAGGCGAGCAGATGACAAGCGGACCCTGGCCCTCGACCTCCACTGCAAGCTTGCCGCCGTCGGTCTCAATGTAGGTGATTGCCATGTTGATTGATGTGACGTTGAGTAATCCTTTCGGGATAATCTAATAGATAATGGTTTATTTTCGATTTTTCTGTTTGTACTGGCGATAGATCTGTGATCTTCTAAACGAGAACATTGAGGCGAAACTGAAGCAACATATATATCCCAGTCAACCTCGCCCGGGAGAATGGATGGTGGTGGGTGATTCGGCCGAACGATGGCCGCATCAGTGGGCTCCGAGCCGGGCGCGAAAAAAAGCCGAAGGCATGCGAAGGCAGCCCGCCAGTACTGACGGGACAGTCAGATTCACACAATTAGTAGCAGTTATGAAGACGATAATATTATACGTACCTAATTCGATCCAGGGGACTACAGCTATACATTCAACGCATCAAAAACGCCAGCCTGCTAGTTGTTCTGCAGAACTTCGCATGCTGGGGGAGACGGTCGCGTCGGTCTCGGCGCGTTTCGTCTCGCGTCAACATTGAAGCTCGCTCACCATAGTTTGGGTGGATGAATGTCGGATCACGCCGCAATCGCTCACCCTAATACGCACTCTCCTCAAGCCCATTCCAGATAAAAGCCTTTATCGGATGAAAGCAATCATTGAAGATCAACGTGCGATAGAGCCTGCGCTGCTGCATCAATCCAACCCATAATTTAATTACCACCAAGAGTGACTTCGAGTCAGTTCCAACGATTCCTAAACAGGAAACGCGGGCTCGATAAGCTCTTATCATCACGAGCACAGCGTTCTCTTATTGGCTGCATCAAGTCTCGTTAAAATAACACAAAAAAAATCAATCGAGAAGGACGGCAAAAACGAAGAAAAGGAATGAAAAAAAAATACTCGCATCCCAGGACTTTCTTCAATGGTTCTTGTACAGCCTATACCTTCTCACCGGCATAGTTGAAACGATCCGACACGATGAGTCTACCTTGTTCGTAGACGAGCTCACCCCTCGCTTTTGCCAAATTTATCATTGCTGACTGCCAAACATCTCAGTCGAGGGCACCGTCTACCAATGCGGTCTCGCTCACCCAAATATCCCCTACACGATCTATGTCCACGATTACTATCTCCTTCTTGTGCCGCGCCAGGTCAACGATACTCACAAGGAATTTCCCAACGTTCCATTCCAGGGTCTGAGGCGGGTCACGTTGCAAGTCTCAGACTTCATGGCCAATGAGTACCAGGATAAGTATAAGCGGGCTCCCAAGTTTACTCATCAGCTTGTAGCCTTCGCTTATGAGGATGAGGAAGGCGTTGTCGTTGCGGCGTGGCTCGAGGGAAGCGAAAACATCGCTTATTGGGATTTCCGGAGCATCCTAAGTGGAGACAAGACTTTGATCAGATCGCATTTCACAGATGAATGTTCGGATCCCGAGGATAGCTTTCGTATCATGCAGTACGATTTGGCAGAGGCAGCCTGAATTTCTGTCAATATCTAGGATGTGGAGATGAAGGCAAGATAGCGTTATCAATATATGCCAACAGAATTAGACGAACTCCTCTAGGATAACTTCTTTATCTCGGACATCCTGTGTTTTCCTATGTAGTTAGCAGCTTGGTAGCTGACTAATCTATTTTCTAATTGCCGTGAGCGCTGGAGTAAACCAGACGATGATCTACCACTTTGTCGCTACCCTATGCCATGACTAACCGACGGTCTAATGCTTTATTCAACATAGCGAGACTCAATTCGATTGGCCGAGGCTTATTCCATATACATAGCAATATCTTGACCTTTTAAAGTCGATTTTTTATTCGAGTGTTCTCGGTATTGCCTCTAATTATCAATAGATACAAGGACAAGGTTAGTCCAGGATTGTCGCAGTAAAGCTACGTCCAAAAATTGGAGGTTGCCTTGAGAAAATAAAGTCCTACCTTGTGCGTTCTAAATTCGGGGTACTATCGTGGTGTCCGATTGGATAATGATAGTTACACTGCGACCAGCCTGGTAAATTACCATAACCAAGTGCTACATGCTGAGGAACAACGGGTGTTCACTCGTCACGGCATTCGCCGACACAACTACCGTGAGATGCGGTGTCCAACGGGGATGGACTCCTTTACACCCCGACCCCTGTAGATGCCCAGGGGTAATACCTAAATCGCGGTCTGGGATGATAACGCGAGTTCTTGATTAGTAAATACACGAGATTTAAGTTCATTCTATTTCAATTTCCTCCAGCCATCACTCACCCATAACATCTCCCCTCTAATATATCAAGGTTCATTCCACAAAAGAAGAGGTAGTGCATACGTCATGAAGTGAATAATCACTTTAAAGTTCACGCATATACTAATGGACAGAATTGGGACGCCGAAATAAACCCCTGCCATCTTGGGTTATACCTACTGCACCTACGACAACCCAAATATTTGGATATTGTTACGCATCCTTCGAAGAGGGAACGAGGTGGAGAACATCGGATTGGCCCACTGCAATTTCATGTACCCCAGATGGACTAAAATGAGCTTTTTTGATGAATGGCTAATTGTACAAGCTGGGCTACCTTTCTTCTGGTTATTATCCGTCCTCATGGTATGGAGGGAGACAATAAGCGCATTTTGTGTGGCTGTTTTACTTGCTAAAAACTCTACGTTGGGAGGATTCTCGGAAAACTGTAGGGAGAAAAAGGATAAAGCTAAACACAGTACATGGAGGAGAATCAGAGAATAAACGCCATCAAGTTGACCAAATGGATTCATCTGAAGAGCCCAGTACGAGGTTGAGACAAATCCAAAACTTTTTCATAGTTCAACGCCTAGAGGAACTCTTGTCCCATGAATTGGTGTGAAGATCTATGCCCTGGAATGCATCGTGCGAAGGCCATGCGAAGAATCTCTTTCGTAACTCTTTTGATCACAAGAAACTTGTTTCCTAAGCTAGACTTGGCAGAAATTTACTCGAACTGATCACCCCACTGATTTTATGGGTGTAGCTGATACCCCAGCTCTCATCCGCGCTGAGATCCTCCTGATTCCAGATCCCAACTATGGTCTCCTGGAAGGTATCAAGATTTCGAACATTTATTTTCTCCTCTGTTCTCTTGATCAAGTTTAGGAAGTCTGCTCTCCTTTCATCTGTCAGTGCCTCGATGCCGATGATGAAGAGCGGAAAGAGGTGCCGGCATGTATCAATGCGTCTTATGATAGTAAATGCTCGGTCTTGCCAGACAGTGAGTCCATCGGGATCCCGCTGGAGGGGGCCTTCAGTGATGCGATGCATGAAAATAAGAATGGCTAGCTGTAATAATGAGGTTGTTTCTGTAAGATCAAGGCTCTCCTCGGCCGAGAATCCGTCCTTTGGCTGCAATGCGATATGCATAGTTTCCGTCCGCCTTCTTAAATCGCTCAGCTTCGAATAGTATTCTTCTGAAGTAAGGACGAGCTCCTGGTACTCGTAAAGTGAGTAGCAAGCTTCTGCCAGCAAGCACAGTATTGCGTGGGATGGGTGCGCGGTGCTGAAATGGAGCTGCAAATCAGGATTAGCGATTTTGAGTATCGAAAATGCCTCTAAAACACACCTGTCGTACTCGACGTAACTTGTCACACGGGAGCTCAAGCGGTTTATCAAGACCGAACTCTTTTCCATAGAGGGATTCGATGACGCCGTGACGCCAATGAAATATGCTGAACTCTGCTAAGATACCATGGTAGTGGACCCAGGCAAGGAGATCCACGGTTACCGGTTCGCCTCTCTCGGAATAGCTTTCGAGGTTCATTGTCTTGACAATTTTCCCAGCACCACACAAGTAAATGAGCCAGGAGCCGGTTGTTTCCGATATTATGTGAATCTATGAATCGGACGAATATCCTTGTTAGAACCAATTGAGAAGCTTGGGGCTCAGCGCGGCTCACCTCAAACGAGCAAAGTAGCATGCATGTGGCTACAAGTAGTGAAGCCTCAGAGAAGGTTAGGTCGGTCCTGGTTGTGGACTCACCCAAGGCATGAATTGCTGCAATCTTGTACTGAGCAGCCTGTCGCTGCAAGCCATATTTATGTAGTGATGAAACAGCCAGTAGGCTATACTGGGCAGCTTGATAGGGTGGGCTGTTGTGCGAAAGAGCTGTGGCGATCAGCCAATCCGGAATGCTTGTTAGCCCCGGACCGAAAATTCCCAGAGATGAGGATGCTATATCGCTGACTGGAAAGAGATAAGTTGTTGCCGGTAAATAGAGTAATGAATGGGAAGGTACATTACAGTATCTGAATAGTTCGCTTTCTTCTGCTCCGTGAGGGGATGCTTTCCAGACTGTTGATATTGGACGGATCAAATCCTTTGGCTGGACCCGCGTTCTGCTAATATCCACTGAGGTCAATGGTTTAGATATCAACCGCGTACGGAGGATGGAAGATGTTTACTAACCACTCTGTGGTAGGTCTGAGAGGTACCCATAGAGTGCCATATCGAGGTAACTGGTATGTACAAAATGCAGATTCCTATGGTTGCGTGTGTTGTGACGAGTTGCCACTGGGACGCAAACCACTGCTCTTTTGGGATTATTTCCCTTGGGCCAAGACAGGCGAACTCCGTACCCCTGACATTGGTGCTGCGTCCGAGCACAATTGTGACAGGTTGGCAGTTTGCGGTCACAGCGAACCCTACGGTCTTATCGGGAAGTCAGTTATGTGGTATACGACAAGCTGACGTGATGATGCGGTGCACCTTTGCATGTCCAACAGCCCCTTCCGGCTAACCCCAGGTGAGCCGCACCGGAATCTGTTGATGCTAGTGTAGTCATAACTACGGCGGGTGTGAATCGTCCAATGCCTGACAATGACGAGAGATGGATGTGATGATAGATGAAGAGCCGACGGACGGTGGATACAGAGTTCACCTAGTTAGAAAAGGTCCACACATCTGAGATTTGTCATGCCCCCAACCCCAAGACCCCTCACTTGATCGGGACCGGGCTGACTCCATGTATTGAGGCAAGTTTGTGCGAGTAGAAGGTGTGGAACGGCAGGGATTATTGATACGAGCAGCCAATAGCAAGACAGCCAACTGCATCGCGCCGCCACTAAACTGTATTTCGCTAACCCGGAGCTTCTTTTCGAATTTGGTCAAGTATCTGCGAGAAATAGCACCCATATTATGCAGGGTGTGGGCTGTGATGAATCAGTAAGCGAACTTTATCGATCCAACTCGTTCAACTACGGGGATTAAGCTGAGTTTTGCATTTTGTTCCAAGATGGATTTATAAGTCAGAATAAGAATGCTTGCTGTTTCAGGAAAGGTCCCTTTTATAGTGGAGATTTTAGCTTCCCTGGAGGTTCCGAACTCACGCTTGGATCTTCCAGTTACAAATCCAATGGGCTGAACCTTGGACTATAAAACTGTCTCTGCCAGGCCACGATAATCTTGATGCCTTTCAACTTGTATTTACAACTTTCAACACACGTCATTTACATACAAACTCGAACAAAATTGCGGATAATTAGTCTATCTTTTGCACGAGCACACCGAAAATGCCTTCATATCTTATTACCGGTGCTTCTCGTGGTTTGGGCGTACGCCACCGCGATCATCCCCGTTGTGGATGTCGGCTAACAGGATTGATTAGTTCGAGTTCCTTCGCCAGTTATCCAATAATTCCAAGAACACGGTGATCGGTCTTGTGCGCGACAAGAAAACGGCCGACGACAAGGTTGCCAAAGAGCTGAACAGGCCAAACGTCCACATTGTTGAGGCAGACATCAACAATTACGATACTTTAAAGGTAAACCAATTAACCATCTCATCTCCGCTTGCCTTTTGACTTGATCTGACACCTGTGTAGGCATCTGCGGACGAGGTTTCACGCATCCTCGGCGGGAAGCTTGACTACCTCATTGCGAACGCCGCATTGATGTCCCAGTGGTCTGCGTTTGATCCACTTGGTGCCTTGTAAGCCCTCGCCCCTCGCTTCCAGCTCAATGTGATAAAAAATCCTCTAATTTTTATTCTCGTTGTAATTGTAGAGGCGGTGAGCCGCAAAAGCTATCCCAGGATATCCTAGATACGTTCAGCACCAATGTCCTTGGGAATATCCACCTCTTCAATGTCTACGTACCGCTCCTTAAAAAAGGCGACGGCAAGAAAGTCCTCACTATAACTTCGGGAGCAGGTGACATCGAGCTTGTTAACCAAATTGGTTACTCAGGCGGCGCCCCTTATGCCATCAGCAAGGCAGCCATGAACATGGTCACAGCCAAGTACAATGCACAATACGCACCCGACGGCATCCTGTTTTTCGGAATTAGCCCTGGTGTCGTGAACACAAGCGAAGGCAACGTTGGTGTGTTTATGCCCATCCTCACCATACCCTTAATGAAACCTCCTCTCATATTTCGATAGAACCGACACCAGAGCAACTGGAAGGCATTGCAGAGATGGTCAAACGGTTCCAAATACATGAGCCTAATTTCAATAGCTTCCTGACACCGGAGGAATCCGTAAAGACTGTTCTATCTATCTTCGACAAGGCTAGTTTGAAGGATGGTTATGGCGGTGGCTTTGTATCTCACCTCGGAAAGGGTGAGAAGTGGCTGTAATTGTTTCCCTTGGCTTTGCTACCGGCGGCACCCGGCGCAGAATAGCCATTTTAGCATGACCACATCGATTAAAAGATACATGGGTTGTTAAAAACCAACAAGAAAAAGGTTTAGCTCAATCAAATCTTTGAATGGTGATACAAAAGTCACACAAAGGTGTCAATTATGCTACTCGGGTTCTCTGCCATCTTCCACTATTTCTTCAAACAAGCATGGGAGGTGGATCTATTGGGAGATGTCCACCTCCAAGGACAATTGCCTTGGCATATCTAGCAATCGGGCACTATCGCATAAACAAAAGGCCCCCCCCCCCGAAGTTGACTGGTAGGAGTAGAATAAATTAATCTCTTTCCAGGATCAAAGGGCGAGCGGCTCATTGAATTGAATGATTGGCCCTGGTTTTGCCTGACCATTAAGTATTCCAATGAAGTAGAAAAATTTCATAATTCTGGATCTTTTTGATATATATTCCATCGCCAACTGAACCTCCTCTTGCGTATTAAGCCAGACTAGGGAGGCGGTAATCAGTAACAAACGGGATGATTATGTCTACAACAATGTATGCGTTGATATTCGTTATGTCGAGATGTCGGGCTCTGGCATCTTGTATTGGTGTTTTTAACTTAATACTCAATTTCTCTTCCGTAACGAATGTACGAGTTGAATCCTAAGACTACAGTATTTGGATTTCCTGTATGTTCTTTTGAAGTCGATGTCCTTCCAAAGTATCTTCGATAAAAACTTGCGAACCTCGGGGTAAAATGAGCCATGCCGGTAATGTTTAGTACTTTGTCAATGTACCTCTCAAACGTAGGTAGTTAACTTATGACGGCCGGGGTATCCAAATCTTACAGAAGGCTAGCTTAAGTAAGAGATCCTGGAATGATATCAAGCCTCTTTGTAGAGAGGGAACACAGGAACTTCAATTGGTGTTAGTCCCCCAGAGTAGAGACCGGAACAACCAGCCCAATCTAAGGACTATGTTAGTTTCATAGCTCTGATTTCATGAATTCGAGGACTATACTTACAAGCGGTGAAAGCTACAATATATCCAAAAGCGTAACCGGCTTTCATTATGGCTTGACTTTGGGTCATAAACCCAACGGCTAGCAGAAGCAAGCAAATGTCAAGGGCAAGAAGGGCAGCGACTAGAACGGCAGAGCTACGCATCGCAGCCACCGTGTAGATAACGGTCAAGATGAACCATGCCCAAAGGTATAGTGAGATTGCTTGGTTGAAATCGGGACTCATCGCTCCCGTATTTGCATCGAGGTAGGCAGCTGTGATACCTGTTGTCGGAAGAAAAATCAGGCCGTAAGAGATGCTAAAAGCGGCGTAAGAGGAGAAAACCGTGGCACCAAAAGTATTTCCTGCGAAGAACTCCATGGCCCCGCAGATATATAGAGATACCCCACAGAACCCTATGAGCACTGATATCATGACGTTTGGGATTTGTACACCACGAACTTGGAGACCGAAACTGGAGATGAGGAAAATTCCTTTGTATTGGGGCTCGCCGATTAGCTCTGCTGGAACTACCTATCCCAATAGCTTCAATCAGGGAGCCTTACCTGTTGCCAGTGCGAGCAAAGCTAATGGGGCAGGATTTGCAAGTCGCCTGTGGGTGACAGGGAGTGAGGGTTGACGTCGATCCTCAATGTGGCCCCCTGCAGTGTAGGTTTGATTGAGCTTATTGCCATCGGAAGACATTTTGGCGTGGAGGTAGGCAATCTTGTTTTATTTCAGTGAGTTCGGTGTGGTTCTCAAGGAGCTTGAAACCGACCCAAGGCTTCCAAGTCAGTGGCTTTTTATATTCGTCTCCATGGCCGCTCTTCCGACCTACAATCTCCAGAGTGACTGTATCCCGACTTCTCGTCACTGTGCAGCGACGTTGGCTCGGATAGCGGGTATGTGAAGCCTTGGCGATTCGCGCCTTTCTTGAGCATGTCGGTGTGGGGTTGCAGCTCACAATGTTGGGGCGGAAGCCGGCTGCATAACAAGCGCGCTAGTTTCCTCATGTATTTACTGGCAGAATGGGTAGATATTTAGTGCAGCCGAGAACCTGGGAAGTAGGGACACGGGGCATACCGTTGGGGGTTCAGGGAGGGACTAGGGACACGGCTGATGCATGCACTCCTACGTAAAGTTCCAAGCCATACTATCATCGATTATGCTCTCAAGTACACGACGGATTAGACTCCTCGTTTGAAACACTCTGCATCCCGGATCGTATTCTCTAATCCTAGTCACCCTCGGAGACAGATATCTACACATGGATGTGAATATCTACCCCAAAATGACGCAAAGGCTCCTGATTACTACCGTGACGTTTAGCAATGGGGGTGCTAGTAAATTAAGATGGGGACCCCCTTTCCGATAGCGACTCAGGTCATGGCGCCTGTTAGCCGACTATTATCGCGATCTGCAAAAAGAAGCATTGAGAAGGTGGCTAGCGCAGCACCGTGTAATTGTATAGGCCTCACAGATCTTACTCATTAATCTGGGTGCGATGTGATGCGATGCTGGGTCTAGTGGAATTATTCTCCAAGAACAAATCTGAGAAGCCCGCTGTCTACGTTTAATCATCGGATACTGTTCAGTCAAATTTTCGCAAGATATTCGTTGTAAGCCATGTCTTCACTCGCAATTTTGTAGTAACTCTTCTAATTAAGAAAATTCTAGCATCGTTAACTAGTGTATGGTTCATTCATCAGTCACTCAAGAATACAAGGTAAGGAAGATACAAGGTAAGGAAGACGTGTAATTGAGGCTGAGCAAGACGGAATTCTTAGGTCCTACCTACCAGTGTCTAGAAATACAAGGATTTGGTGGCATTGGTTCCACACCGGAACCGCAAGAGAATCCGGGGTAGGGGCCAAACCGCGTCTTCTTGGAAGGGATGTTTTTGGAGAATTCCACCGGAATAAACTAGCTTCTGCAGGCCTCCCCGCAAAAAGCCAAACCCCGCGATGAAACCCCCTTCTTAGACTTATCGCCCCTGGAAAGCAACATATATAGATATAATCATTTCGAGGCTTTTTATCATCGCACATTCTTATACTCATGCTCACAATTTGATTTGATTAAAAATTTCTCATTATCATTTACACTTTTCTTGTTCAAAATGGTTTCTACCAGAGAGCATGAGTTCAACTTTCGAAATTTCCTGATATGCTGGGCCGTATCATTGGGGCAGCTTGGCTTCGGGTATCCCTCGTCGTAAGTTAAGGTGGCGCAAGTATGTTCTAGGCAGAAGCACTAAAGGTGAACAGTATCATCGGTCCAGTGCTCGGTGAGCCCTCCTTTCTGCAAGCCATGAGTCTCGTGGATTCATCTGGCATACCCTCCGCGAGACAAAACCAACTTATTGGTGCAATCAATGGCGTTTTTCAGGTCAAGAGCAGAGAACCTATATCCTTTTCCTGGTTCGGTTGACTAAGTATGCGCACACAGGCTGGCGGTTTCATTGGCATTCTCATGACTAGTTGGATACTAGACAAATACGGTCGCAAAATCACTTCCATCTACTGTGCTCTTTTAGGCTTACTAGGTGGGAGTATTCTCTGTGGTTCTAGAGATGTTACCATGTTCATTATCGGGCGTTTCTTCGCCGGAGCGGGAGCCTGGGGTTTCTTGGCATGCAGTAAGTAAAAACTAGGACACATTGGTGAGCAAGAAGCGCTGATACAGTTGACCGGGTAGCTCCAATTTACACATCCGAGTTGAGCCCTGCCAACCTCCGGGGATTTTTCGTTGGCATGAACGGAGTCAACGTGGCTGTAGGCTACTCCTTGGCCTCGTACATGGGTATGGCTTTTTTCTATGCGAAAGAACCAGCCTTACAGTGGCGAGGACCACTTGGAATCGCCCTTGTGTGGCCAGGTTTGACTCTTGTCATCCTCATGTTTGTACCCGAGTCTCCACGCTGGCTTCTGATGAAAGGTCGTGTCGACGAAGCACGCGACGTCATTCTCAAACTGCACACGTCCAAAGACGACCCAGAACAGGTATCCGCATACGAGGAATTCAACCAAATGCAAGCACAGTCCAACTTGGAAAAGACGCTCGATTCATCGTGGCGGGTGTTGATTCAGCGTCGCTCATACCGCAAGCGTCTCCTCATTGCTTCAGGCTTCGGATTTATTGGACAAAGCACTGCAGTTCTCGTCATTAATAATTATGGACCAACAATCTACAAAAGCCTCGGTTTTGACACAAAGGACCAGCTCGCTCTTCAATGCGGATCCAACACCACTGCTGCAGTGTTCAACTTTCTAGGTGCTGCCGTGATGGATCGCTTTGGCCGACGGCCCCTTATTCTTATTAGCTTGCTCGGATGCGCTGTGGCTTTGGCCATCGAAACAGCTATGGTTGCCTTGTACGCAGAGGCAGGCACGAATAAAGCCGGGTTATCCGCTGGCGTGTTTGCGCTCTATCTCTTTCCAGCGGTGTATGCTATGGGCATTGATGTTGCTGGCTACACCTTTTTCAGCGAAGTAAATTGTTGAAATCCTTTACCTGCTGGGAGCGCTGCTAACACTACCTACAGTTGTTCCCGAATCATATCCGGGCAAAAGGTGTCTGCGTGGTCATTGCCGTGATTGCTTTGACAGACCTCATCTACCTCGAAGTTAGCGCAACCGCTTTTGCTGACATTGGCTGGAAATACTATCTTGTAATATGCCTTTACCCATTCTACTCAAGGCTGTGCTTTTCACTGATTGATTCATAGGTGTTCATTATTGTCACTGTTTTGGGCACTATAGTCATGTACTTTACCCTGCCTGAAACAAAGGGTATTCCACTTGAAGACATGGCAAAGGTCTTCGGTGATAATGATGAGGTTATCTTGGATGGAGAAGCCATACATGATAGTAAATTAAGCCCACTGGCTGCAAACAGTAGCAAGAGTAAGGAGACTGAAGTGAGAGGAGAAGAATAGCGAGCAGAAACTTTGTGGTGGCACTGACTGCATGTTATATTGGGCGGAATTCCCATTTGACAAGGATCTTATACGGGAGAATCCGAGGATAAAGCTAAAAACAACAATGAAAGATTCCAAGTCCGATAAAACAATAAATCAGACGAGGATTTTATATAGCGTTCGATCATTAGTCAGTGGTTTAATATTTTCTCCGCGTTCCAAAGAGCGTAAACCACCAAGAAAAGTCTTGTCCATCATATACCTTACAGATGAGAGTTCGAGCATAAAGTTGAAACCAGCAATGAAAGAACTCCACCCGACATCCCAACACAATAAATAAAAAAGGCAAATAACCTTCGCTAGCCAAAGGCTGTAGTCATCTAGGAAAAAACTCTACAACCTTCATACCATGACTCACTTGCCGTTAGGACGAGCCGCTCGTCAGATCCCTTTTAAACTGCCCTCTTTCACCTGGATTCCTTCGTACGCTCGTCTTCAATTCAAACATTTGACACACCAAGCATCACATGCCTGACATGTAGGCATTCTCCTTCGTCTTTCACACCTCGAATTCTCTCCTCCTTGAGCATGGACCACTGCTTCAACTAGATAAAATGCCCCAATCAAAAATGAAAGAGAACTCAAAGAAGAAGAAAGAGAGCTCAAAATCCTCCGGCATAGCTGTGAAAGCAGCTCCATCGGCCACATCTGCTGCGTCCACCGACACCACCCACTGCGGCCTCCGAAATGCGTCCCAAGGCCCCTGACCTTGTTCTGCCTAGGTTCGACTTTGAACGTTATAACCCTTACGCCCCAAAGGCATCATTTTTATCCGCTGAGCTTTTTGATCAGCTCTTAAAAGATGAGGTGATAATGACTAAGGAAGAACTTGATAAGAAGTACGGATTCTATAGTAAGATCTAGTCCCCTCTAATTCCTGAGATTTATAGACTAATTTTATTGTTCTTAGAAAAAGGCTCTAATAAGGGTGTTCCTGCTCATACTGCTGCTCATACTGCTATGGAAATATTAATGGAAGATATTGGGTCAATATACATGCCTAGAGTATCTTGATTTGTGGATAGAGGGTTTAGAATTCATCGTCACTTGATGTTCAATACCTATCGCTGCAAGCAACCTCATCTGTGACCTTGAGGGCCCGCCACAGGAATCCACTGGCGCGCTCAGAGCCAAAGAGACATGCAGCGCGGTAAGCTCTTTGGAATGGGCTCATCGGTCTCGACATAATTCGCCGATCTTTGAGCAAGCTAGGATAAGTCAGCGGGATTCCGGTGGCACCAACCGGTGGGATGTGGGATAACCCGAGAATTTCCGGTGGATTTCATGGGTCTTGGCTTATTATAAATCGCCGCCTTGGTGGATGGAACACCGAGCAGGGTAGCGCGGTGTTACCAGGATAGGTATGAGCTTACCATCGTGCGGCCTAATTGGCTCTTTTATACGACACCTACATGTTCTATCCTACCTAGTTGAAGCCTAGGTAGCCTATACCACGGAACCATTAGGTATTCATTATTCCGCTACAAGGCAGCAGTACGTCTCCTGTCATCCCTTCCAGAAAGTTGTGACTTAACCTTTCATTGATTTGTTTTGCTCATACGTCTGTCAAGAGCTGTAGTCTATTAACGTGACAACAACAACGACTCACAAGATGAACTCTATCGAAGGTATTGATATTATCTTTCGTCCAGCTAACCATGACTTGAGCAAGAGATGGCTCGATCTGGACCCCAGCACGCGGGTGCTCGAAAAGGGGTGGACGAAAGCGCCTGGGCGAAGACCCCTTCCAGAGGACTTGGTGTTTGAAAAGGACACGAGAATCCAGCTTCGGGATGGAGCCAATATCTGGGTCGACATCTTTCGGCCTGTGTCTGCCAGTAAAGAACATCCGATCCCTGCACTGCTAGCTTGGAGCCCTTATGGAAAGGAGGGAAACGGTAAGATCAAGCGTTACCAATCATTGATCCAGTAACCTATTCGACAATGATAAGATGCTAAATATAGTTTCGATAGGCTTCCAAAGCCTGGATGCTGTACCATTCCGCGCTGGCGTTCCGAAGTCATGGACTAGCGATCTTGAGAAGTTCGAGGCTCCTGACCCCGCAGAATGGTGCCCAAGAGGATACGCCATCGTCAACGTGGACCCTCGCGGTGTTGGAGACTCGGAAGGCAATATATACGGTAATGGAACACAAGTGAGGTCGATCTAGGATTCGGTGTTGGGCTCAATTTTGCTCACAATTTACAGGAAGGCCGAGATGGCTACGATACCGTGGAGTGGATTGCTAAACAGAGCTGGTGCAATGGTTCCGTTGGCCTTGTCGGTAACTCGTGGCTAGCAATTTCTCAGTGGTGCGTGAATTTCGTTAACTTTATCCACCAACTTTCCTGAAAGCTTCGTGTTGAACCACGACTAATCACAATATTAGGTTGATTGCCGCCGAGAGGCCTCCTCACCTCAAAGCCATTGCTCCATGGGAAGGGTTATCCGATGCTTATCGAGAGCTCCTATGTCGAGGAGGGATACCAAATCCTGCATTCTTCGACTTACGTTCAAAGGGATACTGTGGTGAGTTTTCACGCTACTGTTTTTGGCTACTCTGCTAAAAAGTAATAAGGCAAAAATGGATTAGAGGACGCAGGAACAATGATCCGCGAGCATCCTCTTCCGAATGCCTACTGGAAGGATAAACGGGCAAGAGTTGAGAACATCGACGTTCCAATGTACGCGCTGGCCAGTTTCTCGTCAGGGCTTCACACTGAAGGCTCACTCCGAGGATTCCTATTCTCGATGTCAAGGGAGAAATGGTAGGCACCAGAGGACTGGTATATCCAGTATACTCAAAGTCAAAAGTCCTTTTCAATGAAATTGGTAGAGTCATTGCTTACGAGTATAGGCTTCGCATTCACCACACCCAAGAATGGCACGACTTGTACCAAAAATCTTCAAACGATGACTTGCAGAAATTCTTCGACAAATACCTTCTCGGGAAAGATAATGGCTGGGAAAAGACACCAACTGTCAGACACAGCCTTCTTGGTTACAATGTACCATGTGTTATTAACCGGCCTGATGTGGCCTACCCTCCACCTTCGATTGAACACACGACTCTCTATGTTTCCTGTGCGAGTAGCACTTTACAAACATCCCCAGAAGGGCATAACAGCACGGCTCAATATCATTCTAACTCGTGGGACGATGACGGCGCACACTTCTCGTACAAATTCTCCAGTTATACCGAATTAATTGGATACTCTAGAGCGATTCTGTACATGTCATGTGCCGACACGGACGAGATGGACGTCTATGTTATTATCAGAAAGCTCGATGCCCAAGGTAACGAGCTTCTCCATATTAATATCCCGCTTGAGGATCTCCCAGTTGGGGTGAAGGAGACCGACGTACCACACGGGAACATCTTCAAATATTTTGGCCCAAATGGGCGCCTCAGGGCTTCAAAACGTAAGTTCCTAGAACATGAGCCAGGCTTGACTCCAGAGCAAAGCAAAGCGCTTTATCCAGCAGAGATCTGGCATCCGCTTGACGTGGAGGAGAAAATAATACCTGGAGAAATTGTGAGACTAGAAATCCCACTTTGGCCATCTGGGATCATCTTCCAGTCTGGTGAGAGTATGAGGTTGGAAGTCAAAGGTCACGAAGTAACGCTACCAGAATTCCCGGCGCTGGATCGCGTTCCAACCAACTTGAATCGCGGAATACACGTCATTCATTCAGGGCCAGAGTATCCATCCTCTCTTATTGTCCCGCTTTCTCAGGGGGCTGCAGCTGAGCAATGAGAACTCCGTGCGGCTGTGTGTATGCTAGTTTAATTTAGTTTTACATTACGTTGTGATCTCATGGGAGATTTGCACCTTTTTGTAACGTCTTTCTACCACGAAAACTTGGTTATTATGTTGTACCAAATCCCCTAAATCGCATTCAACCAACCTCAGTCACTAGGTCTCGCTGCTGCTGAAGCTTTACGTGAGAGCGTCGTACCTCGCTAGTTGAGAACAAGTGAATTTGTTACTCTAGACAGGTCGCTAATAGTAGCCCTGGCTAAGTAACATTTGTTTCACTATATTTTGTCTTTAGGTATATACTTATGTTACCTCCTTTCATGATTTAAGATTTGCATTCACATATAATTTCCTTACTGGTTAAAGTTGGGGCAATATGCATTATCAAACTTGGGAGCCTCGACATATAATCAAGGAATCCTCTTTACATGAAGGAGAATAATACATATAGCAGTCGATACAAGCTATGACCCAATCTTGTGCGACTATATTTTCGGCCGACACTTTTATCTTAATCTATTTTACCAACTAGAATTGAACTCGAAACGTCTAGAAGCCCTTCATCCCTTTATACTGCTGGTGATATCGGCCTCCACTTACAATCTCACGGCCGCAAAGGCGGCATAGCCCAAGTCGCGTAGTCTAATCCATCTCGCCAAAAAGAGGAATATCGATGCGGTCACAAGAGACAAACCAGCAAAAATTTGCGCCCCAATGTACTCTCCTCCTTGGGTCCTGATAATAGCTCCACAGATCGGGGCTCCCGTCAACGTAGCAAAGCTGACAACAGTACAAGCCATACCAATCCTGGTCCCCTGTTCCTTTGGATCATCAGCTAGACTCAGTAGTCCAGCTGGAAAGAGACTCTGGACACCGCCTATCGTGATACCGTAGAAGACTGTCCAGGCATACATGCCTGATACGGTATGAACCGCCGCCCAACAAAATGTTATGACGCCCGTGACAAGCGTGCAGAATAGATAGAGATTTACAGGACCAACTTTGTCTCCAAAGTAGCCTGGGATAACCCGCCCGGGACCACCCGCACCACCAAGAATAAGGATCAAGTCCAAAGATGAAGGATATGACTGACCTAGAATGTCGCGCGAGAAGGTAGCAATGTATTGGTAGGCAAAAAAGGACGACCAGAAAGCCTGAATTGTCAGCATAATTCCTGTAACAGTGAGATTTTACGCACCATGAAAGCGCCAATCACATAGAATGTGTACTCTAGCTTCTTGAAGGTGGCCAAGTCGAACAGTGGCCCTGACGAATGTCGAGGTTGAGCATGCGATTGGAGAAATATCCCAGCAATGATGAGAGTGCCGAGTTGGATAAAGCCAATTGCTCTCAGTGTCCACGGCAGCCCTATCCTAGGAAGCAATTGTCTCACCATGCTGGGGAATACAAGACCACCCGTAACACTGCCTGCTGCAATAATTCCAAAAGCTAGAGATCGTTTCTTCTTGAAGTAGCTTCCTGCGATGGTCATACAAGGCGTGAAAAGCAGGCCGTTACCAAGACCAATACAAATACCTTGAGCCAAGAGGAACTGCCAGTATTTAGTACACAGAGAAGCCATAAATACGCCAAGACAGAGCAAAAAGGACCCAGTGATATATAGGTGGCGAAAGTAACCGGCGTCTGTTAGACGGCCTGTGAAAAAGCCGAGAAAGAAGAGAAAGAAGACTTCCATAGATCCGATCCAAGAAACGTCGTCAGGGGATCGATCTAGCAGAGTCATATAGTATGGCTGAAAGACACCGTAGGAGTTGACCACGCCCCTGGTAACTTAGCTTCAGCTTAATGTCAAGGTATTAGAAGGATCTGTATACTCACCAACTATCCATGATGGCGAGGTGAGCACTCAGCACTGAAAAGTTAGAAAACCCGGTTATTTTATCATTTTTGAGCAGCTTACCAAAAATCCACGGTGCAAAGCCTTTGTCGGAAACGTGCTCGGTCGGCATGTCCACTACATCTTGCGGCATGAATTCTTCACCAGGGAGCGATTCCTGCTGCTTCTCCAAGTCATGAGATTTCTTGAGATCATCTTTAGCCACTATAGGAAGTATATTTGGTGAGCTACTTCCTTCTCCGTGACTGGGTTGCTGTTTCTGATCCTTTTCTGCCAATTCATCCTGATGATCAGCCGGTGCAGACATGACACCGGTCATTATGGTCAGCGAGAGTGGTCAGATGAACGAAATTTGCCAAGGCAAGCGAGAAATAAGATATGACCTGGAAGATCCAAGGTCAAAGGCTTTGTGTTTCCGTACTTGGTTATATGAAATCGTGTTGCCAGTCTACCGCGGTCATACTTCAATTAGCGCTTAATAACATACCAAAGTTTGATTGGCTCTTTTATACGGCACCTACATCCTACCTAACGAGGTAGCTATTTTGAGAAGCAGCCTAGCAATTCGTACAGTAACGCGGATTTATGCCCCCTCCGACGATTGCCCGGAATGAGCTGTACACGCAATATCCCTGTCTCTTCAAGCATGCAGAGATTTGTGTTCCGTAATACTGGTCCGATGGTGGATACTCGAACCAATATGGTCAAGTTGCGGGATGTTCTATTGCTTACATTCACATCGGCTCGGCTACACCGCAATGTTTATTCCGGTGGAAAAACGTTAAGTCGCCACGGGTTAATCAAAGTCCACGTATTTCGATTTGGGGTCAGCCTTGGGCTCAGAGTGACGCTCTTTGCGGTTCGCGATCGTCGCCGCTCAGATTTCTGGAATACTTCGGCTCTGGGCGGCGATTGCCATTATCTTTAACACGACCAGAGAGTCTTCAAGTCACAGTACACAACAAATCTTGCCAGTTTCAGGCCAGAATCCAGGATATTTATTATATTTTCGGATAAAAAGAAACCCCAACAATCAATATATTCTGTAGAGAATGTGAGCCATTATACGTGCGAAGCATTCTGAAGCTCGTTTATTAATAGAAAAAAGTATTCTAGCAAAAACAGAAGCTTTACTCTCTCAACTTTTTTCGAGTGCCCCATCAGGCTTTGCACCGAGAGAAACAAACAACATACGGGAGGGCTCCGTCTTTTTCAAGTTCCTCCATAGATGATTCGTTGCCCTTTGCACGGAGACGTCGCCCCTCTTCAGAGTCCTAGTCTCTCCAGAATCTAACTCTAATTCCACCTCTCCTTCCAGCACGACACCATAGTCAAGACTATCGGTTTGATGGAGCGGAGTCTCGCCACCTGGCTGCATATCTACAATACGTAGGACAGAACCAGTGGCGATAAAGATTCCTGGGGGAGCAGACAGCATAGATGAATATGCGGCAAGGTCAGATTTGTTTGTGAAATCAGCCGGAAAAGTCTCCGTGGCGTAGGCGAAGTGGTTTGCCATGGGGCCAGCGGCTTCAGTTGGGAGGACTTCGGGGACGCTGGTGTCGAAAACAGCGAGACCGTTGGAATTGAGGTCGGTAATGAAGCGGTTGGGGGTGGGCAAATTGAATGCTGCCTGACTCTGCGATAATGCCATTGTTAAGGTAGTTGAAGGATGTTACAAAGTGTAGGTGGAAAGTTTGTCAAATAAGTGGCAATTTTTCGTGGTAGACTTGACTTCTTCAGAGATTCGTTGCGGTCAAATTTTCTACGACTGGCTCTTATAACCAAATATTTAAACGGATGAAGTAAGGAGTAACCTACTGACTCTAAATACCGTCGGAACTTTGGAACTATTACAAATGCAGTTCAAATCACAGCAATCAAGGATAGATGGCGCAGTCATCTCCGAGGTGTGAAGGCCCGGTTTTTCAGGGGCCAGGGGGATAGATCGTCGAATCCCGATTACTAAGAACAAAGCCGGTGGGAAGTTGATCAGCCAGAGCAACTCATGCATGTGGGGGGAATCCCTGAAGCTTCAATGTAGAAAGCCGGTGGAAAGTTGATGATGACCTACGCAGCCATATCTCCACTTTGTGCTTGGGAATGAGGTTCGGGGCAGGCCTTAGAGTGACATAGTATAAAGCAGCTTACCAAACCCAGGTGATCAGCTTCTAATCCTCGATATTCCATATGCCATTACTGACAACAATATGGGTTCAGTAGCTGAATTTTCCCTCGCTGCGGCGGATCTGTTCAATGTCAATGGCCTTGTCGCTGTTGTCACCGGGGGGGCAACTGGTATGTGTGGAAAGTACCCAAGACCTTATAAATGATTCAAGTAGGCTAAGGTTGACATGAAACACATAGGAATCGGTCGAATGATGGTCAAGGCACTTGAGCAGAATGGTGCGAAAGTCTATGTTGTCGGGATCGACAAAGATGCCGTAGAGAAAATGGCCAAAGAAGAGGCGGTAAGTTTTCGAAAGAAGAACCAAAAAGAAAGAAACCGGCATATGGGAGGAATGAAGACGAACAGCAAGATACTGAGGTATAGTTATCGACCGTGTTGCTAATACTGAGAACTGAGACAGAAGCATGGAAATATAATCCCCTTGCAGGGCGACGTTACCTCGAAGCAAGACCTAGAGCGTATCGTCGCTTTTATTACCAAGGAAACAGGCTACATTAATCTCCTTTGTGCAAATGCCGGTATTCCGGGGCCTACCCCTATCAAGATTACACCAGCATCTACACTTGAAGATATCCAGAGGGATCTTTGGAACAGCGACGAGGAACAATTCGATCGCATCTTCCAGGTCCACCTCCGCGGCGTATATCTGAGTTTTGCAGCATTCCTACCACTACTCAGTGCTGGCAATGCCAAGAGAAATGTATCTCAAAGTAGTCAGATGATCATCACGGGCTCCATAGGAGCTTTCGGTCGTGTGCCGCTGGCCCATTTCGCCTATTCGGCCAGCAAAGCTGGGGTGACACATATGGCAAAACAATTCGCCACCGCTTTCACTAGACACAACATTCGATTCAACGTTATTGCGCCAGGCCGTGAGTGCAGTCGACGTGTTACAGCTGAAAGGTTGCACTAACAGGCTCATAGTGTATCCATCCGAGATGACAAAGGAAATCGTGAAAGCGACTGAGGACCTGAAGCGGAACCCGGAAGCCTATGCGAGCCAGGTTTCGCCTCTTGGCAGACATGGCAACGCTCAAGATATTACAGGCTGCATTCTCTGGCTCGCTTCAAAGGCAGGTTCGTGGCTTTCAGGGATGGTTGTTGTAACAGATGGAGGTAAACTGTCTATCACTCCCTCAACATATTAGAGCTACCTACTTCAAGAGTGCACTAGCTAGGGAAACATGTATTCATAATAGAGAGCTATATTAAAGAAATTTATACTGAGCCAACCTTGTTGCAATCTCAAATTATCAAGCTTATCAACGACCGGGATCGTGTTTTCTTGTGATGCGGAGACAGAACGTCTAGACATGTGCAAGGATGTGGCATGCCATGCCTAACAGATCTACCACACCACATTCCTTGACCTACCACTTAAAGGACGGAAGTCTATCCATTTTATACTTGGAGCACTAAATATATGGTTACTATCTGATAGCTCGTGTTTTGATTTCAATATAGCTAGTAGCTCACTTTGCTCCGGCAAGAGTGTTGTAAAGCTGCAATCAAACTGGCAGGAATTTACAATATATCCCCCCAATTCTCAAGCCGTGTATATTGGTAAAATCCAACTACTTCCGTTAGTATTGTCTAGACCATAGGCTATGTTAACTATTCCATGTTGAATCAGCTTCGTAATTCGACTCATGGCCTAGCATGGACGTTCCATCGCCGAGGAAGACTGCGCCAATCATGGTACGAGTTAGCTCTCCGCATACAAGCAGAAGCTCGCAGGTTATAATCTCAAGTCTAGGTACATACCATCTTGAAAGGACGTCAATGCCTCGTCAAATGAGCCGTTCGCTAAGAAAGCAAAGCAATCTCCAAAATCATGCGGGTGGGAGGAGAATGGGGGAGGTGAGGATGGGGCTACCGCACTATGATGGCCAGGGCCAGACCCAAGCTGGTCCCGCGGCATGCTCGTTTGGGGCAAACCATGGCTGGCAGTTGCGTCCCCCCCGGACAATTTGCTACCGGCGCGGCCATGGCTCGGCTCTACCAAAAGCTTGAGCTCCTTCTCCATGATAAGTCTCAACAGATCCTTGAGAATCGCTGCACTCTGGCTGAGGACGGGATTCCACGACTTATTCGAGGTAAGAATCTCGAGCAGCCGGCTTAGGCCCTGTTTTGCCTCCTGGGCTTGATTCGACATGGGACTGAGAAGTGCAAATACAGCTAGCATAACTCCAGCAGTAAAGATGTGAATACCTATATGTGCCCCCATTGGCGTATTGTTCGCGAACTCTAGAGCCGCTTTGTGCTTGACAAGGTACGATATGCGCATCGCAGATGACCAGCATTGGCGCCGTGATGTCAAGATGAAGCCCTCATCTGTTGGCTCGGCAGCTGTCCCTGTTGGCTTGCCCAAGTGCCTGCCAATAACTAAAGGTCGGTGCAACAGCAATTGCGTATTGTCGTAGGAGACTTGAAGTGCTAGAGCTTGGAGGTTCAGAGTCGATAAAGGCGAATCTTTGGGGTGACTAAACTGGGTCTCCTCAAAGGACTGCAGCCTCAGCTTGGGCGGCAGATTCTTCTCCCATTTAAGTAGCTGTTGATGCACATTCTGGACTTGATGAATTAACTCATTCATAGCCTGATCTTTGGGGGGCTGCATGCCTCTAGTAAGGGGCGTTGCGATTTGATATAGCTCGGCTTTATACACTTGATATATCTCCCGATCAACAAGCATTTGCGCGTCGTCATGAGATTCGTCGTCTTCACCAGCACGCTGTGCGGCGTCGCCTTGGTCGTCAGTTCCATTGTAGTGGACATGCATGTCAATGTCTTGGATGGCGGCCGGCCTACCAAAGACCTGCGCTGTGAATCTTGCCTATAGTGAGTATAATCAGGACTGGTATTGTATAAGAATGGGTTATGCACCTATCGCCAGTATAAAGAGTCCACCAAGCACGCCTGCGGGCTTGCCTCTCGGCAGAATCGACTTCGCCCCAAGCCGATTCGTTATGCAAGTCCATCATGTGAGCTACTCGCACTGCAGCTCCCATGAGTGTGAACCCACGCCTTGTTTTGCGGTTAAATATGTAGTACGATCCAAGCAGGTTGAAAAGCGATACCGAGGATGTGCTTGATTCATCCAATACAATGAGTAGCTTAGTCTCAACGGTTCCGATAAGACGATCCTGCATATTTGTCGTGTCAAACTCGAACCCAAAGTGCCGCCACTTCTGCTCGGCTGTTATGTATTGGGCGCCGATGGCGAGGACGACAAGCACCAGCAGCAGAAAAGATGTATCTTCAGTTCTTGCTCGTCCCGCATCAGTAATGCCTTGCAGCCGCGCGCGCAGAGTCGGCTGATGGAAAAAAGACAGGTACCAAGCCACAGACGTCGAGAAGCTTTCGAGCAGGCATTCGACGACAGCAGGAGGCGGAAGTTCTGTCCCGATGAGCTGTTCAACAGGGACCGCCTCTCTAAATATGCGCATTGAATGTTGTGGTGGATGATCAGGCAAGGCATCTAATTGAATGTCTTGCGGTGTTCCCGATGGATTTTGACTGTTCTCACTGTAAACCTAGAATGATAATCAGTCTCTGGGCTCTGGGTAAGTAGTGAGCAAGGAAAATATGCCTGGTCAACTAATCTCAGGGTCGAGGTCCGTTCGCTATATGATATCGACGTCGCGGTCTGGCTGAGGGACGTTAAGAAGGTCTGTGCGGGCACCGCCGGTTCGCGATGCGTCTGAGTTGTTTTGGCATGTTCCCCTTTAGTATTTTCTCCACGAAAGTTGGCTCGTATCCTCGGCTTCCTATTGCTGTGGGGAGGTTACTAACTGTAGTATTCTTACAGGGGCTCTCAGGCTTACTTTCGCTCCTCATCTCGGCATTCCATGTTTGAGCGGATGCATAGATAACATGGTCGCTGGTTGTCGCACTGGGACTCTGGATTAATTTGGCTTCTCACACCAGCCCGGCACGCTTTTCTTACTTTCAGTTTCTGGCGTTTGCATCGCACGCACGCACGTCGCGCTCGGCCAGTTACAAGAAACTGTTCGAGATTGGTCTCTTGATTCATTGGGCTGTTGTGTCTAAAGTAGATACTGGAGCCAATTTGTTATTATAGGTTAAATGATGCAGGAAAAGGAAAGAAAACATGGCAGAAGACAGGATAATCTCGTCCAAACCACCCAGGTTATAATTTGTCATCACCCCAGATGTTGCGTGTACTCCCACCATATCACATAAGCGGCTTTCAGGTCCGAGGCACAAGCCTAGGGAATACCTAGGTAAGTACCTAATATTAGATTACTAAACTATTAAACGCATGGGTCCTTTCTGTGAGGCTTCTGAAAATAATAACACCCTCAATTATCATGTCTCTTAACAATATAGTAAGATCTTAATATACATAGGTAGCACGTTTTTCTACATATATGTTAAGCCGGTAATATCTCTGGAATTATCATTTTCTATATCAGCGGTGTAGCCAATATGTTTCTTAAGAAATGCAATAGCGTAGACCACCCTAACTCTTTACCTCCCCACTACTAAATTAAATACAACTCTATTGTTGACACTGGATTTTGCTGCGCTTTCACTAGATTTCAGCTCTGTACGATCTCGCGGTTTGTGGAAGGGTAATTTATCCTGAAACAAACCGCTCCAGTCTTTCCGAGGTCGACTCTGCTTACACAGGATGGCATATGGCCACTAAGCATCTGGCGTCTGCTGTGGGATTCAAGCCTTACACTCATTATCTACATTTCGACCACAGCTGCCGTAGTTGATATTGACTAGCCACTTGAGGGAACAATACATATTCTAGAGTAATTTGTGTCTCAACTCCTCGAACCTCTACACCATTTAAAGCTGTTAGCCTGTTTATGCATCTACTTAGAATGGCCGACGCATTGGGCTCCGTTAAAGCTTCTCAAAGATATTCAAGCGTGAACGATGCCCAAATCACAAAGTCCAAGCTCTGGTATCAGAGCACATTGGATGAAGCGAAAGAAAAGTGCTTAAACATTATCATGGTGAACAGTTATGACAGTTATTTAATCTGGAAGGGAGATGAGCTACCCAGTCCATGACTAGTGTCTCTGGGATAACGAACATACATCTCTCATCGAGCATTTCCTTAGGCCTCCCCGGTGTCATGGTCTCGCAGTATTCTGCTAGGCTAACGCAACTTTGGGGGCAGTTTTATCATTTTCGCGCTTAGACCTGCTTGCTGGACTTTTTCAATCTCCTCATCCATGTGTTCTAGAAGCATAGCATAATTCCAAATTGGCTTCCACCTGATGAGGTCACCCTTCTGGCAGAGCGTAATAGAGCTATGTCATGGTCAGTCTCAACCCCTATGCGGCTTGGTAGCAGCAACAATGTTAGTAGCGCAGGAAACATACTTTGAATTCCACCCAATGCTCACATATTCCAGAGGCATACCAAAGCTCTTCGCCACCAGATCCTCGTTCGGCCAGACGTTGACGTCTGCGGTTGAAACTAGCCCTTTGGCATGGAGACGGCTGGCCAGGCAGTGAAGCAGATCCCACCATGGTAGTTTATGAGCCGAGGCAAAAAAGTAACCGTCCGGGCCACCCACGGGAGCATTACCATGTACTATACTGCGGATCATGCTAGTGTAAAAGCGAGCTAAGTCGGTGACATGAATAGCCTGCCATTCCTATAACCATCAATGTGTACTTGGGTTAGAGATATCGATCCAGTGAGAGGGCGCCTTAGCGATCTAACTTACGCTATCCTTAGAGAATTTGTAAACGGCCTTGTTTCCAATTGCTGCTTGGATATAGACTGAAAGCTGGGAAGAGATGTGGTTTGATATTCCGGTGCCTCTGCCATCTATGGATTTGATCTTAGACGAATGCTGCCATGTCTGTGGGGTATTTCGGGAGGGAGAAATACCACTTACAGATGATAGGCGGGACAACAATGAAACTTGTGACATTGTTCTCGTATGACAAGTCAAAAATGGTATTATCCGTATCCCTAACCACGTATGGCGTTGGAACTTGCTTGACGAGAGCGTGAACTTGGTCAGCATCGGAGACCTTGCCATGAGGCCAACCTGTATAGTCAGCGAAGGCACTTGCCCCGGAGGTCTACATAGGCGAACCAAATTAGCGGAGCGAAACTGAATGAAACATTAAGTGTCAAACGTACGTGGATGAAGTAGGCTGCCTTTCCTGTCTGCTGATTTCTCCTTCCCAAGCCCGAGAGGAGCGGCTTCGCGAGAGAAGCGTCAGTGGCACTAGCGCAGTGAACTACGAGTTCAACTACCAAACACTTGTCAGACCGATTTCACCGACTAAAAACCATGGCACTAACTGTCTTTCTCAAGAACAAGTTGAGTGATTGCGCCGGTGTCCCCCAAGTCGACATGGACGGCGTCAATCCCCAAGGCGGATAGTTCGAGAGCTTGCTTGTCGGACCGGACTACCGCAACTATGTTTCGGGGTGGGACAATCTTATGCTGCTCTGCAACCAGTGTATTGACGAGTGTGCCGCCACTTAGATGGACGTGTTAGCGTAAGCAAATCGAGAGTGATGAGAGTTGAGTAGGTACTTGCATATATCCAGCGGCACCAGTAACAAGAATTCTGTAATCCATGACTAAGAAAAAGGTCGAAGCATAGAGATTCAAATCATGAATCGGCATGAGCTTGAGAATTGATTCCATCTTTATAGGCATCTCAGCAACTACTCGCCAAGCGTGTATGTAATTGGTCTCAGCCTCTGAGGTGGAACTCTGGAGTGGATCCGGAAACACTCGCGTCTCCGGCTCGGCGATGGGGCAAGTGGGGCGATAGCGGTGGAATTCGACTTGACCTATTTAAAAGTTGACCCACACCTCAGTCTTGATTGGATCAATCTCTACCGCCTTCCAAATTGAATTGAATTGCCGCCGAATTGTCTTAAACCGAGGATTAGGTAAGCTTTTGTTTTAAGAGCTCAGGACACCTACCCGGGACCCTCTGACCTCTCTGTCTTCTGAGAACCTAATTGTCAGGAAATATCCCAGAAATAGCTGTTTTCTATATTGACGACTCAATAACTTGCGAAGTATCTCAAGTTGAGTTAATCGCGGACTGAATTGAATTAATCATCCGAGGTTGAGATAATACTAGCCGTGGTTTTCACATCATCAGCTTGGATTTCCCATGAAGCGAGACATCATGCAAAGTTAAGCGAAACTTGATAAATATTTATAACCCAGCAGAATAGCTAATTTCCAAAAGGTAACATTAACTGATCCCTCAAAAGATAACACCTTCCTCAATTCTGTTATCTCGTCTTCCAATTAAAAAAATCAAGACAGAATCGTAATGCCCGAGGCCAAGAGTGATTGACCAATGAAAGCGCGCGTAAGTGGGTCTGGAAGATGATGAAGCCACCAGAAATGAACAACATCGCGATTTGGAAGGGTCAAGAGCCAACTTGTCGGTTAGAGAGATATCTTACAGCACATAGTTAGTCAATTGTAAGCTAGCAGAAACAAAGCATCTACTACTCTACGCCGTTATTAATTCTGACACATAACACTTGCTTGGGCGCAGGTCGCGTTGTCTACCAAAGGTGTATTAAAACGCGTATAAGTGTCGCGTAGGTGTTTGATATTGACAACGGGAATGATGAAATGTTATTGGCATGTTCCATGACGGCAAAATAACAGGATTTAATGTCTGACAAAGCAGGCTTACCAGGCAAGCAGGCTAGGGCTCCCCCTGACCCACCTCAACTCAAAAGCAATGCTACATGAAACCCCTCTCTTATGATTTTATTTAGTGGGGGGCTTCTTGGTGTTCGGTTCCCTCTCTAGCAACTGGTATTGACCATGGAAGAGGACCGGAGCGGGAATCAGAGCATAACGCGGCCGGTGATTTTGCGGCGCTCGGTATGTGCGCCTTTTCGATGTCTGAGCGATTGGTTTACCCTGTCACTTGTTATAATACCGCGTGCTGACATTTGTTTGTAGTGTGACCAATGTCGCGTAAGAAAGGTCAGGGTTTTGATTCGATACTCTCGCCAGCGATCGCGTGCGGAGCTGATTGCATGTTAGATTGGCTGCGATAGAGCATCGCCTTGTGCGAACTGCTCTAGTGCTAGGCTTGTATGCACACACTCTCCTCAGAAGCCTAGAACTGGCGAGGGCCGCCAGAGAGTGCTCATATCAGCAAATTAGTGGGTGCATTATCTCTTCTCAATCTCGGGAAAGGCAGATACCCTAACATTATTGCCATCATTTAGTGAAAAAAAGATTGATGGGATTGCCCAGAATGTCGAAGGCATAAGACAGCTACTTCAAGGTCTTGGCATACGTGCAATTCCGGGAGCTCCGTCGTCGGCCCTCAAAGTTCACCAAGCAGTTCTTCGCCCTGAGACCCCCGGTCAGGATTTGAAGAAAACACGGCCGCGTGACTATGAAGAGAGGGCATCTCTTTTCCATGCACAATCCAAGCTCACGGGCCGATTTGTAAGTGAATTGATTGGTTTCAGGCCGTTCTCACAACCCAATGCAAACCGTAACGCGATCATGGAATCGTTACGAGAAATACTCGCTTCAGGTGACGAAAATGATCTCGAGGGCAGTGAGACTGCCGACGTCACCATGCCGGGCCTTCCCGACAGCTTAGAGCTACCGCCTCAGGAAGAAGCTGTGATTGTTTTACGCTGGGCAAGAGGTAAGTGGTACTAGTCGTTGCACACACGGCGCCAGCTTAGTTCTGAACATTTTCTTCATCAGAAAATACTCCGTGCTACATCCTATTTTGGCTTGGTCAGGTTCTTGATATTGAGCAATTTGCGGATTCCTGCCAACTGGTCTATTTTCCTATTACGAATTTTAGCCAACTCGACTTTATCATCGCGAACAGCTTCCTGGCATGGGTATTCTGCGAGTATGGTTTTGTCTCAGGGCAAGAGAAATACTTCGGCTTTGGCACCCAGTGCCAGTCGAACGCGTTGAATAGTATCTCTCATCTCCCGTTGGTTCTGCCACCCTCATCAAAGGCGATCGCTAGTCTAGTTCTCGGAGTAAGTGAACCAACCTCTGAGATTTGACCTAGCTTCCAGATACTCATACAGGATTTGTTCAGGCTCAGCATGCCATTGATACCAATCAGCCAACACTTGCGTGGACTCTAAACTCGACGGCTTCAAGCATGTGCCAGACGCTTGGATATCATCGGAGATCGCGCATGGAAAATTATGGAGAGAAAGCCAAGACAGAGAAGGAGAAGCTCTTCTGGTCAGTGTACAGGCTTGACAAAGCTCTGAGCCTGCGACTCGGTCGGACACCAGTACTTGTGGAGTACGATGTTGCTCTCCCGCTTGAGCCTACCGTCCGTCGATGGATTAAGTTTGCCGATATCCAAGCTAGAACATACAACCAGCTTTATAGCTGTGTCGCGTCACATAAGCGAGAAGCGGAGCGAATGGAAATGGCCGGTGCGTTGTCTGTAGAATTGCAAATGCTTTTGGATCAACAGCATAAGTCATATGTGTGTGGAATTCTGCGCAGCTTCGTTGAGATCTCACTGACCAAGCCAACAGTCTACAGAAAATGCAGCTCTCCAGGCACAAATTGACCCAAGGAAGAGTGTATACTTACAAACAGAGCGTGTCGTCTATCTTTCTGTTCTCACGCTGATATGCCGCATGGCTCCAGTCACCGCAGGGATCTTTGACTGTATTCCGAATCATGCAATCGAAGTCGCCCGTATGGCGCTAGAGACTCACAGACAATCTCTGCATCATCTCCGGTCCCTTACCAATGTGCCCTTAGTATTCAGGAGCCTCATAAATTGGTAGGTCCCCCAAGAAGGATCCTCACGGCCAGAATGTTCTAACCAAACCCTAGGACCGTCCATTTTGTTCCTTTTTTACCATTCATCGTTGTCTTTTGTTCCGTTATGCACGACTGCAATGCAGCGGACCTCGCGCGCCTCGAAGACTTCGTAGCATGTCTGAGCACTGGCGAGGGCTACCCACACCCTCGTGCCTGCCAGTTAATGACAACCCTTTTTGAGCTTGCGAGGCTGTACTGTGAAGTGAATTCCTCGGAATCCACTTTCGACCCGGAAACGGGCAGTGAGGAGTTTGATGATTTCCTCGATATGCTGGGAATCGACCGCCATCAATGGGATTGCCTTGGAGAGGGTGAACTGGGCGAGGATGGTTCAGACCCAACAAATCTATCAATATGAAAAGCAGACCAAGGGAGATGTACATTTATACCGTGAAGTGCCTTCCCATTTCGTACTTGAGCCCGTACGGAGTGTTAGTTGTGAGCATGTGCGTTTCTCCCTCTTACGGCTGCCCTCTCCCTAAAAAATTCACCTCTTCTTGGCGCTTTTGGAACAAGCAGCAGTCTGACTTGTTTATCCTATTCTGACTGCCGCATGGATTAGAAGCTTTGGACAAGGGTGTCTGATGCTTCCCTATCATCCAGCCGGCTTCATGTCCTTACTGTTTCAACTCCTTGCGATACATCCGCCAATCACCTTCCAATACGTGCTTGAATAGAACGATATGGAGCGTTTTAATATATTTGAGTCTCTCCTAAGGTCATGCATTTTAAAAAGCTTTCCTCTGTTTTACCAGTGATCCCTGAAGCTTTTTATTTTTAATAGTTATTACTAAGTTTTATTATAGTTTCTAGAGGCTATATAAGAGCGGGTTTAGCTAAGGCAGTAAATTAGGTAAGGGATCTATATTTAATAGATGTAAAGTACTTACTTTTCATCCTTGACGGAAGAGGTGCATTCGTGACTTGTTCAACAAAATCGTTTATTAAGTCATTGCTGAATGCACCATCCAATCACAAGCCTTTGTTTAGATAGTTTCAGCTTGGTCGTTTTTGGCTAGGCCTTCATCCCCCCCCACTGGTCCTCAAAGGACCTTCTCTTCCTCGAGGCATACCAATTGGAAGTGGAGTAGATCGGATATATCGGAGCGTTGCGGCTATCAGCTGTCGGCTATTCCCCGCCTTCTAGCATACCTAGATAGCTGCTGGGGAACACCTTTATCCCACGTCTTACCTACTCCTATTGAGTTGACGCCTGAGTCTTGTGATAGTCGTTCGCAATGTCTCAACCCTCCAAGAAGAGACTCAAGGTTTTGGTGGCATGTGATACATGTCGAGCACGCAAGATCAAGTGTGATGGTGCGCGCCCGGGTCCGTCTAACCAGCTGCCGCTTTGGAACATACACTCCTCGAGCACTTTGCTTACAACAAGTAGTTTGCAACCATTGCGCTAAGAGGCCACACGCTTTCGTCTGTAAATATACAGGTAAAAGACTGAAAGATGCCTCTATGCCGCACCGGCTGGCAGATCCTGAAGAGGTGTCAGCGTCAGATTTTGCCTCTCTACCACCGCAACAACCAACAACCACCTCGCCAAGCCATTCTTCTTGGCTAATGAATGCGACACTTGACTCTAGGGTGACTGAAGAGCCACAGGTGCATGAGAAAAGAACATTGGCTGATGTGGATTCCATGAACGGGATCGTTGGAGAGCCCTTGTATTCACCGGAGGTCTTCGGCAGTAGCAGTGCTGGAGAATTCATGCGCCAGATCAAAGCGGGAATCGATGCTCGACTAGGCCTCGTTCAATCTACGGCATCAATTGCCCAGGAACCATCTCCGTTGCCGTTCCCGGCCGTCCACCGGGACCGGACAAATTACGGGGAAGACTCGCGACACTTCACCCTACCCCCCCGAGGATTAGCGGATCGCTTGATGCTGGCATATTGGGATGCCAATTGGGCCCTATATCCTCTAGTCAACCGATCTGAGGTAGAAGCGGACTACAAAGCGGTATGGTCTGGAGGTGATCTGCAGTACAATGAGTATACCACCATGTGTATTCTCAATACGTGCTTTGCACTGGGATGTCAATATTCCGATGCTGTTCCTACAGAGCAGCGGAGACGCGCCGGTGCCGAGTATTTCACTCGTGCACGACATCTCCAGATAAATTCTACTGATCAAGTGTCTGTCGAGGCCGTCCAGTGCCTGCTACTTATGGGATCTTACCTCCAAACTACCAGTGAGGTTCATGAATGCTGGATGATGGTTGGGAAGGCCATACGCATAGCACAGAGTATAGGACTCCACCAGCCCCGATACTGGGACCATCAGGATTCAATACGTCGAAGGGAGTACGCGAGACGAGCGTGGTATGGCTGCGTGTTTATGGATAGGTATGTACGGCCATTCTCTGATATATCCCTGCTTTCATATATTGATTGCGCTCGAGAGTTTTGTCTATGACGTTCGGCCGACCAGCAATGACTCCGGAATGGCTCTCGAATGCAGTGCCTCTTCCCGCAATGATAGATGATGAGTATCTCGATACTCAGAAAGAAGGGTCTGCAAATAGTCCCGACGGCAATCCCTGTGTTATGGCGTTTGCTGTCAAGGCTCTCCAGCTTTATGGCATCATGAATGATATTCTTTTGACGCTGTACACGAGGGACGAGGAGCAGAAGAGAAGTACTCGAGAATTGGCCAGGATCCTAGAGTTGGATGAGCAGCTTCAAAGCTGGCATGACTCTATTCCCTCATTTCTGTATATGTCGTCAGATTCACAGCGCAGCATCATCTTCCAAAGGCAAGCCTTTATACTTCGTATACGGTTTGTGGCCAAGACCATTTGATACAAGGTTGATGTTGCTGATATCGAGATAGCTACTTGCACATCCGCATACTTCTACTACGCCCCATCTTAGCACGACCTTGGCACCAGTCAACCCCGCGTCGTGCGGCGAATTCAGATGATAGCCTAGGAAAAATTATGCTAGATCAGGGGTCATTAGTCTGCTTTCAGGCCGCACACGAGCTTATCAACATCTTCAAGACCAGCCCAGACCTTGAGAGCCTGTCAGGTACACTTCCGGGTTGGTGGTATTCCATTCTTTGTGAGTTTCCATATCTACCGTTAACCAATCCCTTTGATTTCTGACAAGCCTTTCTATTGGAAAGATCTATACACTGCGGCTACGGTCGTTTTGGCCGAAAAGCTCAAGAACCACGGATCGGAAGTGGAATCATCTCCTTCGAACTCCCAGGACTTAAATTCCTGGGACGATGTCATCTCTATACTGAGGCGTTATGGCAAGGTGGGGGAAATAGCAAAGAGATGCGTTGCCGCCTTAGAAATATTGGCTGCGAAAATCTCCCCCGGCGCTGCCGTGGCTAATGGTCAGGGCACTGACGAGCCGGGGCATGAGGAGGACGTGAGCTTGGTCAACCCGCATTGCGGACTCGATGTGAACTGGGAAAGCGTCCTCTCGACATTGGATGTTGACAGCATGACCTGGCTAAGCTCGATGTCAGCGGATCTTTACTGAGCTGTCATGTTAATAGGCCACGGTGTGGCTGCATATAGATTTATAGAGATCAGACTGCCAACTAAAGCTGCTCAACCCTCCGCGTGCGGACAGAGATATCTTTGGGCATTTATGTATGCTTGAGTATGACCGGAGAGAGTTTTGATAGAAAGTTAAAACAAAAGAAGATGTCAGACCCAACAACTCAACACAATGAATACGAAAGGTTAAAAAAAAAAAAGCTTCGCTAGCCCAAGGCTACAGTCATACGGCAGAGAATTCTATAAACCTTCATACCGATAACTCGCTTGCCGTCAGGACGAGCTGCACGTCGAATGACTATTAAAGCTGCCCTCTTCACCTGGCATGCTTAGGTATGAACATCTCCGATTCTCCTTTTATTTTTTATGAATATCTTGTATTGCTCTTTGAGGAAGCCTAATTTGTTTGATATACTGGTTATTTTTGGGACTGTTTCTTCCTATTCTCGTTGTTCCCCATACGACTCCCAAAGAGCCTTGTTATTTCGGGACTTAGCTGAACACGGGATGTCGTAAACCCATATTATTACTGAAGTACACTATGATATTAAAGTAAGGTTTTTCGGCCACATCGAGGATAGAACAAATATTACCAGAGGTAAATACATATTGCAAACTATCATTCTTCTTCAAGGTCTTATATAGATCATTGTCCTTAAACAGCGAAGACCACAGATATATGATGGGGTTATTTACTTGGAATCTCCAATGCTTACACTTGGTCTTCTAATCCAATCCGGTGCGTTGTAACTACCCGAGATGGGATGGTTTTGGGTACGAAGACAAGACAAATACATTCGCATGTGCGAAGCTATACAAAAGGATGGTCTTGTAACTATATACACGTGCTCCGCGGGCTCTAAGAGGTTGAGGATAAGCTAACGAGGATATTCCCTTCTTCAGTAAAGTCACCGTGATAATGCCGTGGACAAAAAGAAACCCATCTGTTATGATCCAGCTTACTTCAAAATGAAAATACCTCATCTGGCATTCGCGAGGGCACTCCTGCCCGCTGATACCCCAGACTAGCTATTGCGATCCCGATTGCGGACAGCATCGGCGGAGGACCACACATTAGTATGCGAGCATCATTTGAAGGGCCAGGTAATCTAGACCTTAGAAGGTCTCCCGTAACATAGCCGAAACTGCCCGTCCAGCCAGGTGGAGGATGAACGAGTATATAGTGGACCTGGAACTTATGGGGGAACTGCTTTGCAAGAGAGTCAAGCTCTTTTCTAAGCAGTATATCAGACAGGGAATTGTTCGCATATAAAAGGCTGACTGCGGTGTCATCCATCGGGTTTAAGCACACAGCTCGAATGAGCTGGTACATGGGAGTGATCCCCGTACCACCTGCAATCATGCCAATTTCCGCAGCATAACCTCTCGAGTACTCCATGTTACCCTTCGGGCCTCGGAACTCGACCTCATCCCCTGGTGTAAGGCTTTCGAGATGCTTCGTCATAGCCCCCTTGGGATAGACCTTGATCAGAAGATCCATGTAGCCTAGATCATTGTCATCCGAGATTGGTGTGTATGACCGAGAAACATTTTCGCCGCTGATGAAAGCACGAACCATGATGTGTTGCCCTACAGGCAGCCCCAAAGGCTTCCCTGCAACTGGGAGATTAAATCTGAACTGGAACACATTGGGAGACACGGCTGTCTTTCCGCGGAGACTTAATTTATGCCATTGCTGAGGGTCTAGTTGGAAAAGGGACGCGGGACGCTCTCCTGCGGCAGGCAAGTTGGCTGTGGGCGAATGAGGGCCATCTTTATCTTCCTTACGAGTGTGGTTCTGCTATTGATTACTGTCAAAAGATGATTTCCCACAATGTTGAGTCTGGGGCATTAACTTTACTCACCGAGTTTGCTAATTGGCCGATAAGCATGTTTTCTAGGAGTTCTCTAGCTTCTTCAGAATGGCCAACATCCTCAAAAGACTCGGTCGCATCTTTCCCAGCTTCTTCAAGGAGGATCTCAGCACCTCCAGGATGATCTTCCAAGAAGCTTGTCACGTCATAGACTGCAGAGTTGTCTCAGCATACGTTCATCTTCCACCCACCACCCCCTTCCCTTCCCCTGCCCCCGCGCGGCCGGGCATAATGCGCTTTGGAATATACCTCTGTTTGAAATCACGAGCCAGGCGTCGTTCTCGTTATTGTGCTTGCTAACTTCATCAAGGGACACTGTTGGAGGTGCCATAATGGAAGGACTGGAGATAGAGGCCACGATCTGCTTTGATGGTCATTTGAAAACGAAACTCGAGTTCCATTCCTGAATGGCTTAAATCAGTGACGGCTTCGGCATCTCTCGGTAGAAAAGATAGGTAGATGAAGCCTAAAAAAGGGCATCGACGCTTCCGTGGCATCAATCAATCAATCCGGTGCGCCGGTGAATGTTGCAGAATGACCCACAACTCATAGGCATTTCGGTGCAATATACTCCCTTGGACGCCATGATATGACCGAGTGAGGCTTGTGCTAAGAATAAACGAATCGCTGTCGTTTCCGAGTTTACGGATGATGATCTGATTCGTGAGCCACGGTAGAGTGGGGCAACCACTCCAGTCCGAAGATTCAACCGCTGGGTGAGAGATGTCCAAGTACACATGCTACGTAAACTTTTATTTTAAACTAGATTCTCAAAAGTTTGAATTAGGTCTACCATGGGTGGGTTCAAAAAAAAAATTAAGCCTATCGTGTATGGGAAAGCTATATGTCTTTTACTAGCGTCAGTCTGTAACTCGCAATACCGACGGTCACCAAGCGCTTGACATGCCACATGAGGGCCACACTACTTTACGAAGCTTAGGCAGAGCCCCTCTACAACTCTGCTGGCTAGATGTGAGGAGGCGAAGGGCCTCTCGTTGTCAATGATTCAATACGTCAGGAGTATTGTACTGCATGGTGCCGTATCAAATCTGTTGAGATGTCGGGTGTCTGGCATCTTCCATTGCTAATTATTGACTTTGTATTCTAATTCTCTCACCTGAACTATATGAGGTAGTTGCAGTCGGCTATGGCCAACGCCGGAGTAGGCGCTACGGGAGGTAGGAGGGGAGGGGGGGCAAGGAGAAGGCAAGAGAACAGCGTGATACGCTGCCTCGAACGCTCCGGGTCGGGGCTCCCAGGGAGATAACAGGCGTAGAAGAGCGATGTCAGCTTCGGAAGGTGACCCAACCACTTGGAGGCCGTAAGACTCGAGCAGAGCGCCATCGAACCCCTCCGTGTAAACTCTCTTGTACTTCGGCGCCAACGGCAAAATCTCCTCCTTGTTCGTCAATAGGGCCACAGCAGCCCTCTAGGCCCAAGCGCATGAGCTCAGCCCGACCGACGCTTTTCTCGGCAGCGTCAACGCCAACGAAAGGGTTATCTTCTCCCATGCTGTTGCAGTTGCGAGCCCAGCGGTATTCTGTGGCAAGGTCGACTTGAGGATGCAAAGCACAGCGGATTCCAATGGCCATGTACTCCTCGCGGACCGCTTCAGCAAACTTGCGCGTCCATTTCGGATCACGCAGCGCAGCAAGGCCAAGCGATTCAGGCCACTGGGAGAACCCGCCGGCCAGGGCCCCGGTTCCCAGGTTTAGGGTGAATGCGCGTCGTGGGTCTGTAGAGAGGGTGACGGGGATGCCCAGCCTAGTATCCAGGGCGAAGCGTTGGAGGCGGTTGTGCCATTCGGCTGCTTCGCGGACGTTCGACACCTCTCCAGTGAGGTTGAAGAAGGTCATGTGCTTCTGGCCAATTGTCCCTGACTTTAATGATTGGTAAGCTTTAGCAAGAGTTGGGAAGAGGCGCGCGTTACAAGGCGCGCATTACAAGGCGCGCATTACAAGGCCACATGGCCTACGCATCAAAAGTTACTGATTTCGGCCGGGCGTTTACAAAAAAGAGATAAAGGCACTCGGATGCAACTTATCATGACTTGGTGGCTAGCCTCGTTGACGACTTTTCGCTGCTTCCTTTCAACAATGGCCTCTCTCTCTACTCGTTGCAACGAGGCGGCACACCTTAGCGATTCTCTGACGCATTGGAAGATCGTACAAGACCTGTGGGACCCTGACACAAACCCCTCAGGTTTCGTCAACTTAGGGATTGCAGAGAACTCTCTTATGCACGATACCTTATCCCATCATATCCACCAAAACATCAGTCTCCCGAAGACAGCCTTCACATACGGCGACGGTACCGTCGGATCAGAACGTTTAAGAGAGGCCGTCGCACGCTTTCTTACCAAGCATTTCAAGCCGGCTAGACCGCTCACACGAAGTCATATATCTATCACGAACGGATGCAACTCGTCCATCGAGCAGCTGTCATGGGCATGTGCCAACCCAGGCGAAGCATTCCTCCTCGGTCAACCACATTGGGGTACATTCGTCCCCGACCTTTCCCTGAGATTTGGAACTCGACTACTGCCCGTTCCCTTCCATGACGTCGACCCACTCGGCGATGGCTGCGTCCAGAAGTACGAAGATGTTATACTTGGGGCTTACAGTCGAGGTGAGAAGGTCGCAGGCCTTGTCATCTGCAACCCGCATAACCCTCTTGGTCGCTGCTATTCTAGGGAGACCTTGGTCTGCCTCTTACAGCTTTGTGAGAAATACCAGATTCATTTTATAAGCGACGAGATCTACGCCCTATCTGTTTGGTCGAATACCATAGACGATAACATACCGCCGCCGAACCTTTTCGTTTCTGTTCTCTCTATCGACCCGCAGGGCCTAATCGATCCCGCTCGAATCCATATAGTATGGGGTTTATCAAAGGATTTCGGCGCAAGCGGATTGCGAGTTGGATCCATCGTTTCTCAGTCGAACGAAACACTCCACAAGGCCATGACCCCTAGTGGTCTCTACACCTACGTATCTGCGGCGTCTGATCATATTGCAGCCAACATCCTCGAAGATATGACCTTCACGGATGAATACATTGCCGAGAATCGGAAACGGCTTGGAAAGCAATATGAACATGTCGTCCGTTGGACGAAGGCACAAGGCATTTCTCATGCCCCCGGCGTTAATGCCGCATTCTTTATTTGGCTGGATCTTGGTTCATATTACCGACGATACCATCCGGAAACTGATATTCAGGACCTCCCCGGAAAGGTGACGCAAGAGCTACTTGGAAAGAAAGTATTTCTTGCATCTGGGAAAGACTTCGGTGCAGAGAAGCCAGGGTGGTTCCGCATCGTCTTTGCTCATGAAGATTATTACTTGCATGAAGGTTTAGGTAGAATTGCCGCAGCACTTGGGGGTGCATAGTGTCCTTCTCCTCTTGCCTAAGCAACGCTCCTCAACCTTGCTTGTGGACGGGACATTTCCAGGTCTCTCCCCGTGGGATAACTTAGGCTTCTGGTATATGCCTTTGTGGACCCAATTGATATTTTAACAAGTCAAGGGTAGGGTAGAATACGGGAACTTGGATCACGCAGTTCAAAGATCACGTCGTCGCAGGAACCCTACTGCCCCCAATTACTCCGATGTGATCATGCTCATTTTACTTAGAAGAACAAGTTTGTTGCACAGTACGTAGACTATAATTACCTTAGTATCAAAGAAATTAGGTCAATCAAAGCACTCCTTTGACACTGCTCGGCGTGATAAGTATTACTTTGTAGTCCCCATAGCTCGAATAACATGCTTAATTCTCTGCCAATCTCAATAGTGGTATGAGCTAGTTGTTATACTTGCGAAACCTAGCCACGACACACGAGGGTTAGGTCTGCGCATCAATCCATCTGCCTCCACATAATTTCCTTTTGGATATCGACGTTATTTATTGCTTCTCACAGTCGCTCATGCTGCTTGGCACTAGTGAGAGGGCTTAGATAAGAGACCCGATCCTTGCAATAGAATTCGTTCTGAATATTACCGCCCAAGTTCGCCATGCCATTATCCAGAGAGCCGGCTTTAATGACAACTTTGCCTCCCATAATCTCAAGTTTAGTGAACAAGCCGGAGCCACAGTCACCACAAAAGAAGTGCCGGTTGTAGTTTCCAGATCCACCAATGGCATCAAATGTCTTAGGAGTTCCTTCTCACAAGTCAATAATAACCGAAGGGGCGATAGCCAAGAATGCGAGTATTACCTTTGGTCACGGTAAAGGACTCCTCAGACACTATGGCGCTAGAGGTGAAGGCACTGCCACTCCACTGTATCAAGATTAACATCTGGGCTTTCTACGGAGCATCAACCGTGCTTTACTTTTTGGCAATTATCGCAGTGGCACATAGCCGTTACCACATTTTGGTCTGATAACACGTTATTAGTGATGCCGGCGTGTTAAATTTGGCGCACGCCTTACCGGTACTCTGGTACCCAACGGCACCACACAAACAACTCCCAGATAAAGTCATTTCGGTCGTTAGTTAGTCGGTGTGAAGGCTATTTGGCCAAGAAACGGACAAGCACATTCAACGAAAAGTTCAATCAAGGTGCTCGGCATCTAGCGCATGGAAAAAATTTAAACTTGACTTCTTGTCAAGCTGCCGGAACGGATGGAACGGGTAAATCGGAATTGGCCACGCCCTTTTTTGCAATCTTGTAGCCGCGGCACCATTTCCTCAACCGAGATGATATCATTTGATTGTTCTAGACTCCGATCGACCGGTCGAGGGGAACAGACGTAAAAGACCATGATAGTCCGCCAAAGAGTTGACGCGAGGTGATCATAGGCCCCTGAAATGGTGTGGTTGCAGACAGGCATCAGAATTGGCCCCAGTTCAATCTTTTCCCGTCTTGTCTGTGCTGTCGGTTTTACCCCGCACCGAGCGTGTCAATCGCGCCTTTACCAACCAAAGACCCACCGACTCTATTCCGAGGTGGATTCCCCCAGTAGCTTAATTCACGTATTATACGCCGCGTACCTTGGAACGGAACATATCTTAGCAACCCGCGGACCATCACGCGGCCCTAGAGGCTAGAGACAACGCCGTATCCGCTGACCAAGCCTGGCTCAAGGCTGAAGGGCCCTCCGCTTTCGAGACCTCCCACGTCATCGACGGTAGCGACATACATGATACAACCCTTGGGGTCTGCCATCCGATATACCTAGCGAAGTTTAGGAGGGGCCTCGATAGCCATTGTCTTCCCTCTGTCCACGAGCGACTGTCCACCTCAAGGGCCCACGCCTGGTCTGTCGGCATTGGCAGGAGAGCTTCGCTAGCCAGATACCGCGGTTAAAATCAATTAACCGGACTTCGATTACTTGTTTACTTGCCTGGCTTGGCTACGCTTGACGATACTACCACAAACGAACATTCGCGAGGGACCGCATTCCTGATTCTGCGACCTCTTTCTCATGTCACCGAGCACCGGTACCGTATCGAGCCATCCTGGAATAGGCAATACGTGGTTGGAAGTTTGGAACCGGCTCTGGTAATCTAGTCCACACCCGGTTGGGCAAGTCTAGGATGACTGCACCAGGATGAAGTAGATGGGTACGAGAGAAGGCTCGAACCCGTCATTCATTTAGGCGTCGAGTATCTATGGGGCAACCCAAAAGATATGGGCGCCTACGGTTTACCTTACTCGGTGAACCGTGGTATCCACAAGGAGACGAGCGGTGCCTGGGTTCTTCACGAATTTGGGCATACTGGAGGAGCGGGTTAAAACTTATCACTCGCACTTGGCAGGTATTACTTTACTCATTCTTATAAGAATTTTAATGCTACTTACTGTCGTAATGCTTTCAGGACCACCTCAGTCATCATCAAAGTCTTTTCATCCTCCAGCCGACGCCCAACAAGTTGTAGACTGACTGGCATCCCATGGACACCGTCCGCATTATCTTATGAAATTAGTCAGTATTATTTTAGCAGACAGGGAAATCAGACTACTCACAAAACTCACGAACCTGAGCGTCAATTTGACTTAGTGGTTCTTTTGCAGCATACACTGTATCAATGGCCTTGTCGGCGTTAACCCCACAAGGAAATGAGACAGCAGGGTAGTCTAGGACATTCCAAACACTTGTATATCCAAGGTATGCAAATTTTCCATTCTCGACGGTACTGTAAGGTGTTGTGGGGCCTGGCATGGGGGCTTAGTGACAAGAACAAACTCCTGATATCTGAAATTGAGCCTTACATAGAATAGCATCGATGTTGCTGTCGTTCCACTGGCTGAGGTACTCGCCACTGATGATATTGCGCTTTAATTGAAGTTGCCACATGTCATAGGCACCGAGTTCCACTCCCTGGGCATAAATTTCCTCCAGCTCCTTTCGAAGAGGCTCTCCCGTGGGTGCAAGCAAGTTTGTGACCGATCTCCCGCCATCTGCGGCGAGCATGCGAGAATGGAGGGACAGTAAACTCCGATGCCACTTGGGATCCCAGTCAACGAGTGCATGGCCGGCTTGCTTCAGCTTCGCGACAGCTTGCTCCAATGCACGAGCGACTGGGGGTGTTGGGGTGACGTGCCCATCGTGCCAGAGGACTGCAATCTTGACAGTAGGGTTCAGGCTCAATGACCGCCAGGGAATGGGTAGACATTTAGGATCATGAAGCCAAGGCTGCTGATCCACGATGATCTTGGCCCATAGCGCAACCTCTTCTAGGGTCAATGCCATGGGACCGTTCACAGCGCACACAGCTTCCTGGCCGGCGAGACCCGGACGGGACTTGGCGGTGGGAAATCGGCCAAAGGAAGGCCGCAAAGCAAATATGCCAGTGCAAGCGGCAGGAATTCGAAGTGACCCCCCTATCAACAAGATTAGGTGTCTGCAAGACAATAGATGGAGCAAGGCATGGTTGCTGGGATTGAAGTATACCAATGTCTGTCCCCACGCCCAACCGGCTCCCTCCCAAAGCAATCAATGCGGATTCACCCCCGGAAGAGCCACCGGGGGTCATTCTACGATTTCGTGGATTAACCGTGCGACCAAAGACGTTATTGACGGACTCGGCGAACATCAATGCGGTAGGGACATTGGTCTTTACATAAAGCACTGCGCCAGCATTGAGCAAGATGTCGACCAAAGTACTGTTGTAAGTGGCCGGGCTATTGACCAGTGAAGCGAATCCAATGGTGGAATCATGTCCGATAAAGTTGATACTGTCTTTAAGAGAAATGGGGAGGCCATGCAAGGGCCCCTTTGCCCTACCTGTCGTGTTCCAATAAGCGTCAAGCTCACGTGCCCGAGCTATCGCCTTGTCAAAGAACATGTCGGACAGACAGTTAGTCTGGTCACCTCAGTCAGCGCCACTCGAGGACTCTCTCCCTTGGAAGAAGAAGACGAGGATGCTTACCAACTGGTGAGCCGTCGCAGCGGCTTTGCAAAACGCACGGGTTACGCTTTCCGAAGTCCATGATCCAGTCGCCATGTTTTTGAGAAGCAACGATGCCGGTGTCGAAGTAATCTCCAACTCACGCTCGGTGAACCAGCCTGACGTCTTTGGAAAATCGGTGACATCCTCCTGGCTTTCGGGCGGCATGATACTCTGAGGAATCACCCACTCGGCCGGAATGGAAGCTTTGAGTAGGTCACGCTTCTGGGCGGCTATCGTCTCCCAAGTCATATTTGCGTTTGTAATGCACGATTCTCTCTCTCTCTCTTATTTTATTTTGAAGTGTAAGAGTGAATGGAAAGCGTAGTACGTTGGGGGGTTTTGTATCCGAGCGAAATCATTTTGTTCCAGCCAGGCAGCACATCACTAACAGATTTGGATTGTCCGACTTGGCCCGTACATGGCAACTGAACAAATTGATAGCACATTACGTCCTACTAGCGCGGATTTGCAATAACAGGCCATCAACTGTAAAAAGGGGAAGAGCGGCAAATTCTTGTGTCGCACACTTACAATGCCGGAGGAAATACCTCATGCCGTATTATGCTATTGCATCAGTTATCGCTATGCTCCCCGCTTGCCGAGCAAGGGTTGAGAAAATGCTAGGTTCAGTCTATCTCGGAGGCCAGCGGTGGTAGCAATTTACCTAGGTAGGTAGTTTCAATTGATTCAATAACCTCGGTGGGTCTCCTCAATCTGGATCATCCTCTAATTGAACAGTTTCATCGTCTAACTGAGTGTCTAGGTAGTTTAAACAATTTACTTACTGTGTTCATATGACAAGGTCGGATTGGAAAGGATTCCAGCCACCGCTCCCGGAAACCGCCAAGTATCCAATCGGCGTCTGGTCCGGCCAAATCCGCGAAGAGAATTATGGAGGAAGCAACAAGCCGACGAGGATCCGACAGTGCGCATGCCGTTGCCTACCGCAGTCGAATTACGGACCAGAACTAGGACAGGTACACCAAATCTGCGGAGCTTTCATATGAGGATTCCAGGCCATTGCGAACGCTCTTCCAACTAAACACCGAACGTACCACGGCTTGGCTGCTGTTTGTGATAAGCTCCGCTTGAGTATCATGTGTCCGCCAACAGCGTTCTGGGATTTGGTCGCTTACTATGTCTGGAAATTGTTGGTAAACTGCACTACCTTTGGACGGAAATGTACTGGTGTTATGGATACGTAACGGTCCTCGGCGTGGAATTGGGATGACTCCATTGCCGTAGGAATCCTCTGAAGAGAGATGCCTGGTATTCGTGGAAAAGGCTGCATCCATCGAGTCAGGTGATGGGTCAAGCACCTCAGAGTATGTACCTCCATGCAGTCGCCCGGTGTTCTCGGGTCCAAGCGCGATTGGTCTATGTCTGGGGGGCTTTCTTCTACGACCAATCAGCACCCTGGTAAATAATCCTTGATGATCGTCCCGCAGAACTGCCCGGGGTGTGGTCGGATCAGGTTTTCATTGGACAAGATGGTCGGGCCTTGACCTCAGTCACCTATGTGTAAGAATAACCCTGACGAGAAGCTTCCTCAACTCGACCCTGTATCCAGCATCAGCCCCGAGTTTCAATTTCGTTTGTGCCTCCATAGATTGCCAGTCAACTCTCAGGTTCTGTACAAGGCAGCTTCCGCAGCTTCTCCTAGCCATCATGTATCTTCGAGAGGCCCACGCTGAGCCAGTCATCCGCTCACTTTTGGAATTCGTCCAAAAAAACCCTCTTGGCTTGTTGACAACCGCTATACCCTCGTCATCCACCCACTTCATTCAGACGAGCCATATTCCATGGGTGCTGGATATCATCTCGGACGATACCAATGCACCCATCAAAGGGCGGCTCCGAGGGCATATGGCCAAACAGAACCCGCAAGCCAAGGCCATGATTGAGCTGCTCACAGCACCCGACTCTCCCTCAACATCACGCCTACAGCAAGAAGTTCAGGTCCTCTTCACCGGGTCTCATAATCACTATGTCACGCCCAAGTTCTACACCGAGACGAAACCGAGCACTGCCAAGGTGGTTCCCACCTGGAACTACGCGGCCACCCAAATCTATGGCAAGGCCACTGTGTATCATGGGTCATCCCCCGAGGCGTCCGAATATCTCTCCAAGCAGATCCACGATCTGAGCCAATTGTGTGAAATGTCTATTATGGGGTACACAGGCAAAGGAGATAACCCGGGCCCATGGAAAGTAACGGATGCCCCGGAGCGATACATTGACATCATGAAGAAGAACATTGTGGGTATTGAGGTGGAAATTGAGGATATTGGTGGCAAGTTTAAGATGAGCCAGGAAATGGGCCTCGGTGACCGCCGAGGTGTCATTGACGGGTTCAACAGACTGGGGACTGACACTGGTAAGGAGATTGCCTGTCTAGTGGAGGAGAGAGGGAGGATGAAGGATGAAGCAAAGAAATCAAAGAGCTAAATCACTGGTCGTTTTGTAAATTGAGTGTCCTTGATGTTCTATTCACGGTCTTTTGGTGCATTCTACGATAGAATTGAGAGACCACTTCAATTTGCAATGAATACCTTCATCATGCCAGCGTTTACTGTGCTGCCTACCAGAGGTATATGACAACTAAGTATTGATTGTGTTGAGACGTCGGGTCTGGCATCTTCTATTTTTGCTCTTAACTTTATACTTGAACTCTCCTTCGTATACGGCAACTGAACTATGCTCCTTTGATCGAGTGGTTGATTCTACTCGGAGTGAGGCCATTAAACACTCTTTCAATAGATATCAGATCCCAGTATCACGGCGATGATTGCGGTAGTCTGGTTTACTGTGGGATTCCCTACCCAGCATCTCTGCCTCAAAGAGAGGGAACTTCATGTTGGTGTGGCAAGGTGATCGATAAACATCCCACAGATTTTTCTTTGTGCCCTCCATCCATTGCTTATATCTCTGATGGAGAATAGACGATAGGGCACGCTGGCAAGATCAGTTCTAGAAGCTGACATGACACATATGCTTACAAGCGTGCCGCGAACAGCGATCCATGACCATGGGACTGGCGTAAAGGCTACCGCGTAATGTCGTGCCATGAGCCTCGAGGAATGCTTCATCAAATCTCGCGATTCTTTCGTTCATGAGTCGATAAATTCTCCTTATGGGCTACGAATTCGTTCACTTGCCTTTCGAAAGCCGAAGGCTCACTATCGACAGCTCTTCCTTCCGCCACCCCTTAACATAAGCATTAGTATTTTCAAGGGGTGGGACCTCAGTCACTGGCTGATCTCCTTGACAACAGCTCCTCGCGCTATGGTTCGTCCCGGTCTGGGAACCCGTATGTGGAGAAATTACTTGAAGTGCAAAGGAACTAGGGTTCAGGACAACAAATTAGGTTATCTCTGTGGGCTGAATGTACCCTCGGACCTCTGTGTGCTGCCCGCCGTCCGGTCGTCCGGTCATCGGGTGCCCAGAGGGAGAAATGTTAGAAAGCAAGGGAGGGTATCTTGCTGGGGTAAACCTTGTCGTGGTGGCTGGATGCTCTGAGCCAATCACTAATGTTTCCGTCATCACTGACTTCGGAGCCCAGTAACCCCTATCTGAGGCTAATTAGGTCCACAGCCAACCCATTCTTATCACAGGATGAACCAACGTAAACCCTTGTTAGCGTGTTCCGTGCTCGACCCAATCGCAAGGATTGCTTATTCCCCGGACTGATAACTAGTGGGCTATTGAATGTGCGGGGGAGATATCAGCCAAATGTAGTCCCACCCTTATCAGCATTGCAGACTTGAAATGGGTAATGCCAATGTACATCTGGCACGGTCATCGATATAAAATCCATCTTGAAGACCTTCGAAAAGCTTCCACTCAAACCCCCAGATCCAAGAGTATCTTTGAAAGCTTCTTAGTTCCAGTCAGAGCAAGTCCAGATTACAATCTTCATCCCAACATCAGTCCATCTGGTTTCTTGTTCGGAAAAGTACGCCATGGCCCCTCTCAAGTCCAAGTTGTCTCTGACGAGGCCGTTCAACCAGAACTTTCTGGTGGCATGGTATGGTTTGTTTTCTACGCAAGCATATCTTCGGAGGCTAATAGTTTGATAGTATGCTTTTCTGCCTACCTGGCATCTACACAGCCCTCACCGGCCTTGGTGCTGGTGGTGGGCGGCCTGGCTCTGCCGATGTCGCGAATAAAACAAATGCTATCCTCTATGGTCTCTTGGCGTTCGTGGGACTCTTCGGGGGTAGTATACTCAACATATTAAGGCCTAAAGTGAGTCTCATGGTAGGAGCAATCGGCTATCCTTTATATGTGGGTGGATTATGGTACTTTGACACAACCGGGAACTCATGGTTTCCGCTCATGTCCGGCGCTATCCTTGGAATCACGGGCGGTTTCCTCTGGACCTCTGCTGCATACGTGCAATTCTCCTACGCAGAGGAGAAGAGTAAAGGCTTGGTAAGTCAGTCCCATTATGAAAGGTGGCATGGCATCCAGTCTGACGTCAAATCAGTATATCAGTGTCCAGTGGTCCATGAGAAGTCTCGGCGCGATAGTTGGCAGTTCCATCTCACTCAGCCTAAACATTGATCAAGTCAAGCCGGTCGGAGTTTCAGCGCCGGTTTACATAGCCTTCATTGTCATTCACTCAGCCGCATTCTTTATCGCCCTCTTTTTTATAATCCACCCAAGCAAGGTGGTACGAGATGACGGTACCCATATCGCTTTGTTCCGTAAAGCAAGCCTCTGGACCGAACTCAAAGCCACAGCCAAGACTTTGCTGGATTGGCGATATCTCCTTCTCGCTCCTGCCCAGATTGTATGCGAGATGGCTTTGGGCCTGATGAGCAGCGTCAACGGTGAGTGCCTAGGTTCTACGCGGTGCCGAGGAAGCACTAACTCGAGAAAAGCTCGATACTTCAATTTGAGGACTCGCTCAGTCAACAACCTTGCCTATCAGGCAATCCAAGTCTTTGTTCCCGGTCTTCTTACTTGTGTTCTCGATAGTAGACACATCAAGTCTCGTCGGACACGTGGACTCATCGGCATTGCCATCATGGGTTCCGTGGCCATTGGCGCATCATCTGGTCTGATTGGGTGGCTTGAGGTCAACCATGTTGATTCTCTTGACGCCCCAGCTGGCGCAGACTGGCATGACCCTGAGTGGCCTGGCCTTTTCATCTGTTATGTACTGTTCGGATCGATCTACTCGGGATATCAGATGTGCACCGAATGGGTTCTCTCAGCTACCACTAACGACCCCGAGGCTCTTGCTCGAGTCGCAGGCATGTTCAAGTTTTACTCTTCTGTTGGCATGATGCTGTCTTTCATACTTGCTGGAGAGCGGGTGAGATTCTTGTGGCAAGTCTTGTTGCAGTTGGTGTAAGTTGTTCCGGGTCGCGCTCATCCATTAAAAACAGAAGACAGAGACTTACAAATTCCTGACATAGACTCTACGCCTTGGGCATCGCTGGGATTGTGTGGGTACTTATTTTCCACATCAAAGAGAGTAACTACTTCTTGGAGGAGAATGTCATTGCCCCGGCATCTACCGAGGCGAAACGCAACCAGGAAGGACTAGAAGGGCCATACGTTGATGGATATGCGGTTGAGGATGCATCACCAAGGGAGGTGACGGATGAGAAGAAGTAGGTTACTTACCAACATGGCAAGGAGCGCTCGTGCCATGGGTGCAATGGTGGGGTCCGGTAGATGGGTTTGAGCCAATCGCGAGGGCAATAGTTGCAAGAGTTACTCAGTGTGTTGAGATGTCGAGCTCTGGCACCTTCCATTGCTGTTCAACTTTTTACTCAATCCTCTTATGTATAGTTGCAAGAGTAAGGCATATCGTGGAACAGCCAGCGCAACGGCCGCGTCTATATTCGCCTCATTGGCAAGAGACATATCGAGGTAGACAAGAATAATATCGTGCAAGAATGAGAGTTGCAGCTATCTGGGTTCTTCATTCAACCGAATGCTACAGTCTTGGGGAAATTGTAAGACGGCTGAGGATACATGTCCGGTTTCGCTAGCCGCGGGTAGTTCTATAGCCTCTGCCCTTTCAAGCCCTCCCTTTTCTTCGCCATATTTCCTAGGTGGATGTTGCTATTGGACCTGCTGCCTAGAGATAAAGGGGCGGACGGAACGGAATGTGGTCATTAATTTCTAACAAAACTACGTGATCACAGTGATGCGGAGACTTGCAGCTTGGAGCCGATTTGTAAGGTACAATACAGAAAGTGTTTATTTCCCATAAGTTCATGCATCTTTCCTTCAACCGACTATTAACTATTTCTGTGTGGGCATAGACATGCGGGGGCCCTGTGTTGAGTTCGTAGGCGATCTCCAAAGCGATGTCACTGTTTTGGTCTGCGTGTAGAACTGCAAGCCCGCATTGCCATAAAAGTAATTCCCTCCACCACCCGCAACGCTTCTCTTGTTGCCAGTGAAGCTGAACATGGGCAATGGCACTGGGAGAGGAACGTTTATTCCCACTTGGCCGGCCTCGATGTTCTTCTGGAAATACTGCGACGATGTACCGTTGCTGGTGAACACCACAGCACCGTTGCCATACTCGTTCTTATTGACTAGCTCGACGGCAGCTTCTAGAGAGTCAGCTTGTAGTACCACCAACACAGGCCCAAAGATCTCCTCCTGGTAGCATGTCATGGATGTCTGCACATTTGTGATGATGGTCGGCGCAAGCTGAGATTGGTTAGCAAGGCTACGCTTGAAAGTTTGCTGTCTTCTTGGATCGCTTACGAAGTTTCCATTGGGGTATTTAGCGGGCTTGTATCTGCGACCATCTACCAAGATATTTGCTCCCTGCTTCTCAGCACTTTCGATGATAGTGCTGGCCCTCTCAAGAGCCCGGGGGGTAATCATAGGACCTAGGTCAGCTCCGGGTTCGAGTCCTCCGTTGACCTGGAGGTTCTTGGCGATCTCTCCAAGCTCAGGTAGCCAGTCTCGGGCTCCGCCCACCACAACCAGGGTGCTCAAAGCCATACACCTTTGCCCTGCAGCACCGAAGGCAGCTCCTGCGATCGAGTTCAACGCAGCCTTCTTATCAGCGTCAGGGAGTAGGATAGCGTGGTTCTTAGCGCCCAAGTTGGCCTGGACTCGCTTCCCGTTCGCTATTCCCCTCTGATATACATACTCTCCCACCTTATTACTGCCCACAAAGCTAATGGCTTTGATATAGGGATTGTCAAGGATAAAGTTGACAGTAGGGGCTCCGCCATGCACGACGTTAACAACGCCATCGGGAAGGCCGGATTCCTTCAGCAGTCTTGCCAGGATCATGGCAGCCCCGGGGTCGCGTTCAGACGGCTTCAGAAGGAGAGTGTTTCCAGTGATGATTGCGAGAGGAATGCACCAAAGAGGAACCATGGCTGGGAAGTCTGTCGCAGTGTTAACATATTTCTTTTAGCCTCAAGAGGGCGGAATTCTTACTGAAAGGACAGATCGCAGCAACCACACCCAAGGGTTCCTTGTAAGTCCTGGTCTCCATGTCTTTTGCCACCTCCAGTACATCGCCAATCAACTGCGTCGTGATGCCACAAGCAGTCTCGGCCACCTGCAAACCCCGGTACACGTCACCTTCGGCATCAGCGAGAGTTTTTCCTTGTTCCAACGTGATGTTGTGAGCAAGTTCCTTCGTATGCTTCCGGATCAATTCCACAAATTGGAACATGATACGCTGTTTGCGTAGCAGGCTGGTTGTCTTCCAGGCCGGGAAGGCCGCTTTGCAGCTTTCCAAGGCAGCCTGTAGTTCTTCATCCGTGCTCTGAGGTGCACGAGTGACGACAGCTTGCGTCGCGGGGTCATGGATATCGATCCATTCCTGGGTGCTTGACGCACGGAACTCATTGTCTATGAAGTTATGGGTCTCGTATTGCAACGCCATGTTGTCGTTCGTAGAAGCCAATGTAATGGTAAATGATATTTTGATGCTTGGAAGTTAGATGATTTGGGTGTCGGTGGCCTATATCAAAATTGGACTTGGAATTCTTTTCCTTTATTCTTTCATCCACCACACCGCAGTCGGAGGTAGAGGCTCTGGTACTCCTTCTTCTCATCACAAAACCGAGAGCGCGACGGATATCTGTAGTCGCCGACTAGAGAGGCGCCTCCACCGTTGCACTTCTCCCTTCGGCCCATCCAATCGGGAGTCTACTGTATTAAGCCACACACGGATGAGTCTTTGTCCCTTTGCTTGTTATCGCCCGTTGCGGTCATTTCGGCCCTCGGCAATAGGTGTGTAGACTTTCTTTTCCATCCATCCCCCTAACGGCTAGGCCACAAGCATGCAGTGTTTGATCGCAAGAGGTGCCAAGCGCAGCTCAGAGATGTAAACAACCAATCAAAGCTGAATCCGTCGCGACAGCTGTCCGATCTCCGTACCCGCGCAAGCGCCGAGATTACTCCCCGATCACCCTGGGAACTCTGGCAAGCTGGTTTAGCTACCAGGGCGTCTTTTCAGACGGCTGCAAGGAAAAGGATTTTCATTCACTCGGCGGTTGGCGGTAATCTCGGCCGGACATTTCCACCACGGATCACCAGCTCGGGTGGAATCCGAAGGTGAGCCGAGCTCGCAGTAGCTAGTTAGATGACCTGTTGTTCCGCGGATGGGTACAGACCTGCTACTGCTGCTCCCACTACATATTATCCCCTGTGCTGTCACAATAGCAGAGAAGTCTATCGCCGTACTACTCCAGTGATGACCTACTACTATTAAGCTACATCGTCACGTCCTTCACAATATCCCTGGGTGCAAAATGAGCTCGAAAATAGCCATGTCTCGTGCCAACACGATCGGTTTTATTGGACTGGGTAAGCCTGCCAAGCCACACTCAAAGTACATCGCATAAGTACGCCATCGACTAATTTCCACTTAGGAGCAATGGGGGTGCATATGGTACTGAAATTCATCTTGTCATAGTCATTAGAACTCCCTAACGACGTTTCTTGCAGCCTTTCTGACCGGAAATCATTTTGTAGTTCGCGAATCTGGTCCGTGGCCTGTCGCGACAAGGCCCGTCAAAGAGCTTCATCGTCTTTGACGTGAATCCTCGTTCCGTGGCCGATGTGTTGCGACAGCATAGCGGCCTTCATCCAAGTGTGCAGATTGAAAGTGCTGACTGTGAGACAACGCTCCTCCCTTCATCGCGGGAGACTGCTGACATCTTGTAGCCGCCAAAGAGATTGCCTTGAAAGCTTCAACCATCATCAGCATGGTGCCTACTGCAAAACATGTCAGGCAGGTATATCTCGGAAACGATGGTGTGCTTCCGGCGCTAAAGTTTCTCGATCGCACTGAAGTTCAGCAAACACTCTGCATTGATGGATCAACCATTGAACAAGAGGAAAGCCGTGCAATTGCAAAGACACTCAAGGATGAAGGGGCAGAGATGATTGATGCCCCTGTATCTGGAGGTAAGTATTGTTATTCTGCGTCACCCAGCTCCCCATCGACAGCACGGAACAGAACACTAATCTGGCTACAGGAGTTGTTGGAGCCGAGAGAGCAACCCTTGCAATCATGGTCGGCGCTTCCAAGGAAGCTTTTGAGCGTTCCAAACCTGTGCTCGAGCCGATGGGGAGGCGCGTTACTCATTGCGGAGACAACGGAGCAGGCTTAGCAGCCAAGATAGCAAACAAGTACGTCACCCTTGTTGCTCTGGACTCTGGGCGGGATCTGATGAAACAACTAGCATGCTTCTTGGAATATCTATGGCTGGTGTAGCGTGAGTAAGCCCTCTACTCTGTACATGATAAGCACTTATACTGACAAGAGAAATGTCAGAGAAGCAATGCTCTTAGGTAAAAAGCTCGGTCTCGAGCCACAGGTACTCGCCAATATTATTAATGAGTCTACCGGCCGATGCTGGTCTTCAGTCGTGAGTTCAGCCAGTGTCCCAATCGACGCATTTGCAGACTAAAACCGAGATAGAGCAACAACCCCGTCCCAGAAGTAAATATTGAGGATGCCTCCCCCCCGGCTCAAAGGGATTACCAAGGCGGATTTGTGACAAAACTCGCTCACAAAGACCTTGCTCTAGCAGTATCCGCCAGCGGTAGCGTTGGGCTGCCTCTACATTTGGGTAAATTTGTTGAGCAACTGTATAGACCTTTGGCTCAGCCTGAGTCTCCGTACAGCAACAGAGACTTCTCCTCGATATATAAGGTTTTCGAGTCCGAATCTTAAGCTGAATTAAAGGCTATAATTTCTCTCTATTATTTAGAGCAAATTAGTATTATTAATTTATTTAAAATGCTAAGATTATAAATAATAAATTTTATATCTGATTAGTATAAAGTATAAATTATATTTACCTATTATATTTCAAAGAAGCTTTTTTCTTTTATAGTAGTTTTTAGCTTAAGATAAGTAAGAAATAGTTATTAAGAATTTTTTTGGAATTTTTTCTAGTTTTAATTAAATAAATAGTAATAGAATAATAAAAGCTCTCTTTTTAATTTTTTAATTAAATATTATTTATAGTATAATAATATATAGCTTTATATAATAAAATATATAATAATATAATAAATTAAAGAATATATAAAAAATTTTTATATTCTTAAATCTAAGGAGATTCTTTTTTTTAAAGAGAAATAATAAATTAAATCTTATATTAATAAGAGATAAAAAAATATATACTCTAAATTACTTAAATATTTTATATATTAATTTATATTTCTTATATTTAATAAATAGATTTCTATCGTGTTGCTAGGATTTACTTACCAGGGCAACAACGTTTGTACATACCACTAGATAGTAGTAGTTAGACGCCCTTTGCCCTCACGAAGGATCCCCCGGCGTTAAATACATACACACAACTATCGTGTTGTTGTACCAAAATTTACAGTTATAGTCGGCGCTCCTCTGGAGTGGCAATTCGTGCGCAGGGACTCAATCGATATTACTCTCTAGTGTTTGTGAAGGGCGGCCGTGATCCATAGTCAAAGTCCTTGATAGTGAGAGGATAACACTCGTCTCTGCCGAGTTGCAATGGAGCCTCGACGACGATTACCACAGTACTATTGAAGCTCAGGGGGATACAATTACTGCACGTGTTGGGGATATTTCGCTGACTGCAACGGATTCTCAGTACAGTACAAGAATGGAGCATTAGCACTGATTACAACAAGTGGTTCAATATCTACAGACGAGATTCGTGTTGAGGCTCTTTAGTTAAATAGGCAAATAGCAATCTTCCTGTGATCCACTTAAATCATCGTCTATTCCTTATGCATCAGGCATTCTTACTACCTTGAACTTTTGCTATATTGAGATTTATTGTCTGAGTCTGAGATTGATTGTGTTGAGATGTTGGGTCTGGCATCTTCCATTGTTGTTTCTCCCTCTGTACCCGAACTCTCTCACATTTACTACCATGAGAAGCCTACTACAGAGATCGCGAGAGACCACCAAGACCTCGAGTTTAAGGGAATTTGGCCTCTTGCATACTTGCCTATCTATAGAAACCATGGAGGGAACTTCTACATCTCCCAAGATAACACGACAACTTCAATTGTAAATGCGACTTTATGCAGCTACGAGAAACTTCTAGGTGCATTTTTATTACTTATAAATAACTGGCGATGATCTGTTGCCATGCATCACAATGTCATATGGCAAGGACGTTCAGCAAGGACAAGGGCTTTCCATTTCAAATAAATCTTGTTTGTCTCGCCCCTGAGTCCGATTGTGTGCTTGAGATGATAGAACTGTGGTTCTGCCCTAAGATAGTAGCGCTCGGCTGTCTTTACCTTTGATTAAAGCTTGTATTTAACTCTTCTGTTTCTAGACTATTTAGAAGTGTATTACTTACTCCACTGGTGTTATTTCCGTATTTTCATAGATGGAAGAAGCTACTAATCTATGATTTAAGATTGTCTCCTTCTAGAGTTGTATAGATTAGTTGTGACATTCATTGTGTCTTGGGAATCCGTTCTGGGGACTAAGAGGAATTATTGGGATCAAGGGCCACTAACCATTTCTTCGAATTTTGGCTTGCTCATTTCCGGAGCGTTATAGGACAAATGAATCCCATAAGGCTGAATCTCACGCGCGAGTCTATCCATCCGATCCCAGGGATACTCAAGACTCTTCATGGCTTCATCATCAACGTAGGCATACTGCTCAGGGTAATAGAGTATCTTTATATGACGAAGAGTCGACTTCCGGGCGATAGCGACATGCGCAAATGCTCTGAGCCAATCTTCCTCTGGCTGACAGAAAGAACCAAGATCCTCACCGTGTTGCTGATCTTCAAGTATCATGTCCCAGCAGAAGATCTCACAATTGGGTGCGACGAGATTGGCGATGGAAGAAGAGTCGGTCCCTGTCGTATCATGTCCCAGTGAAAGGGTCTTCAAACTGTGGAAGTCTGTGACATCAAAGTCATAGAGACCCTCATCTAAAAGCTCTTGTAACCTAATATAGGAAAGAAATTCTTTCTGGTGTGATAAGACTCGCTGCATTACCCCAAGGTTATATGGTGTTAAGGGGTCTTCCCCACTGTAGTAGTCGGACAATGGCATTGAGAATTCAAATGATGTCAGTTTGGCTGGCCACAATACAAGTGCTTCGAGGGCTTGCAGCCCTTGGGTGAAATGTCTCAGCTTCAATACACTGAGCGGCGAGGTGCCTGCTTGGGCCTGTCGAACAAGTCAGCATCTATCTCTGAGTTTTTTTGTTCTTGGGTTCCTCTGGGCAGTAGGCGATGAGATGCTCCCTTACACGTAGTAATTTCCAGTCATCTTCTGTCCCAGCATGAGTGATACCACTTAGGTCGAGGGTCTGAAGAAACCTATCAGGCTTGAGCCCACTACTCCCAGTAAGAACAGTCGGGAGATCCAGCATTGCCTCACGAAAGGTATGGAGCCTCAAATGTCTTAGACGGGGCAAATTCTCTATCGCAAGTCTAATCAGATAAAGAAGGTCATCCTTTGTGGGCAACAGGAGAGCTTGAAATTGGCAATCGTGGACTAAAGATTGTGGCCAGCCTCTGATGCGGAGCTCAAGAGTATTGGTGAGCCAATTAAGGCAGTCGCTAGCAATATACATGAGGTTTTGGACTGGCGATTCTCGATCAAATGGTTCTCCGGCGTAACCTGATGCACCAAAGTCAAGTTCTAATCTGCGGCAGTGCGGCCATAAAGACGTGTTTGTTCGGAACGTGCGATGGAGAAGTCTGGTACGGTGAGAGGTGGCCGCCTCATGTTCATCCTGACGCGCGCCGTTGCACTGAATCTGAATGTTGGCGTAGAGAAGCGGAGTGATAAGACGGTGAAAACGTCGACAGGTTGAGATCAGTGCTCTCGCTGTAGTAGCATCGCAGGATTTCAGGAAAGGTTCTGAGTCGTCGTCTCGCCAAGTTTCGTGTTCGACGTGCACAGATTCTTGGAGCAGAGGGGCCAATAACTCATCGGGTAGTCTCAAGATGGTAGTTGCTGGGCTCTGACTGTTCTCCATGGTTCAGACGCTCTGTAAGCTCAGTGGTCGGAGTCGGAAAAGTGGTACGTGTTGTTCTGGTTATCGAATAGTGTGATATATGTGGGAAGAGAAGCTGACTGCACGATTATTCACCGCTGAAGTTGAAGTTGAAGTTGTTCCCCGCTCAATTTTAGGCTCCAATATACCTACCCTAGAGCCACACTGCTTCAGCGCATTGACCTCGCACCTTTATAAAATTACTGTTTACCTGCATTTGTCCCTCCCTCAACAACACAACTTTTACTCAACCTCAACTCGAGTCCTCCTCGAGCGAGGCCCATCGGCATAGCCATAAGAAAACGACATTCATTTGTTGGGTAAAATGGATGTGACGACGAGGGACGAGATGGCTGTTGATGATGGCGCGCAATTCAACCCCGGGCGCCGCTTCATGGCCGCCTTCTTCAGTCTGTGTATCCTCGTGGTGGTCAACTCGCTGGATGCTACAGCATTGGGCCCAGCAATTCCCGTACGGCAGTCCAGTCATTCCGATGGTTCTCAATTGGTTCATGCGGCAGTTATATTAACAAACTTATAGACTATGTCCTACGAGCTGGGCGGATCGGCCGTGCAGGCGTTCTGGGCCGGCACATCTTTTCTGCTGGCTGGCACCGTCGCCATGCTCACATTTGGTGGCCTCTCACAGTCGTTCGGTCGCAAGGCCCTCCTGCTCATCTCAATTGGCTTCTTTGCCGTCGGCTCCATCATCACGGCCACAGCTAAGGAGTTCACCCGCGTTCTCATCGGACGCAGCATCCAGGGCACGGGCGGCGGAGCCATCATGACCATGGTCGAGATCCTCATCACCGACCTCGTCCCCCTGCGTCACCGTGGCACCTACTTTGGCTACCAAAGCGCAGCCGCCGCCGTAGGCACAGCCGTCGGCCCTCTGCTCGGAGGCGGCTTTACTGACACGATTGGGTGGGAGTGGATCTTTTGGATAAATGTGCCTCTCTGTGTGCTTGGCTTCATAGCCGTGACCGTCTTTCTCAAGTTGCACAAGGTCAATGGCGAGTTCACTACCAAGATGGCCAGGTTTGACTGGCCCGGTGTCATGCTGCTCACGGCGCCCCTAACCGGATTTCTCGTCTCGATTTCGTGGGGAGGCATCCTCTACTCATGGTCATCGTGGCAGTCCATAGTGCCTATGGTGCTGGGCCTCGTTGGGCTCCTGGCCTTCATCGTCTACGAGGCCTACGTCCCCTCAGAGCCACTGGTTCGCCTACAAATCTTTCACAACCGGACCGCCATGGTGAGCTATCTCGGCACAACTGTCCATGGCATCGTGACGTGGTGCCTCATGTACTATTTGCCACTCTACTACCAGCTCGTCCTCGATATGAGCGCGACCATATCGGGTGTTGCAGTGCTCCCAGAGACGCTCCTCGTGCCCGCCGGTTCCATTGTCGTTGGCGTGCTCGTTAGCAAATGGGGTACCTTTCGATGGGCCATCTGGTGCGCATGGTGCCTCACGGTGCTCGGTTTCGCGCTGCTCTACCTCTTGGGGCCTGAGACGAAGACGTGGCAATGGATCCTCATCAACGTCGTACCCGGAGTCGGTATCGGAATGCTGTATAGTAGCCTGGCCTACGGCACACTGACGTCGGCGTCGGAAAAGGATGCCGCCTACGCCGCGTCCATGTACATCTTTTCTCGCGCCCTGGGGCAGAGCATTGGCGTCGCGGCTGGTGGTGCCATACTCCAGGCGCAGCTCGCAAAACAGCTGGCTGCTTACCCCGAGCTTGCCGACCGCGCGTCGAGTCTAGCCAATGAGGCCAGCTCGCTAGTTGAGTACGTAAAGAGCCTCGAGCCCGGGTCCGAGGAGCGAATCATGATTGTGCAAGCATACGCCCAGAGTTTGAGCATCGTCTGGGCTACAATGGCGGGCTTGTCGGGCCTGGCCCTGCTGGCGAGCCTCCTCACCCAGCCCCTGAACGTGGACAGGGCCCAGGAGACGGAGCAAGGGTTCCGCCACGACAAGGAGGACAAGACGCCCGGGAAGGATCAGGTGCCACAGCAGGAGCAAGAGATTGGGACCAAGACGGCGGGTGGAACTTGAGGCGTATTTGCATCCCTCATTTTCGTCCTTCGCCTGTCAACGAGCATGGAAGCTGTCTCAAATCCCAAGGACTTTTGACTAGGTGAGGGTGTCAAGGGCTTGTTTTCGAAATGGGACTAATGGTCATTCGTGTCGGCTCACTTTCTCCCAATCATCCCAATTTGCTGGGGGTTTCAGGAGCTTTGCACCAAAATAAAAAAGGAGGAAGCATTTGGTTGATCCTAAGCTTCTCCTACTCCCTAATATAAAGATGTCATCGACTCAGTTGAGGGGCCCAAATCTATAACATCTTGATGTTTTGAGCTCTGTGTTTCTCTGTGCTGGAAAAGTTGCTCTACGACTCGTTTTCAACCTCCCATCTACATTATCTCGCAGCATACTTCTCCACAATGCATGTGAGAAAGGCAAACCTCGACGAGGCTTCTACGATTGCCTGGGTTGGAACGCAAGCTTTTCAGAAGGATCCTAGCTATGGCCACTTTTACCCTTGGAAAGACTACTTTCCGGAGGACTTCTTCATGCATCTCCGTCGCAAATACCAGCGTTTGATGGCCACGCCCGGCTGCTGCATCATCGCCTTAGTGCTCGACAAGGAGGACGAGCAACCGAACAAGACAAGACCACCCACAGCGCCGGCTCCATCATTGGATTTGCCACATTCCAGAGGTCTGGGGGCACCCACGAACAGCGAGATGCGTGGGGCGCGGATACCCCTGAGAAACGTGTGTTGTCCCGGCACGCTTCCCCACCGGCTTCCCTAGCTAATCTTGACGACGACGACGGTATTTGATTGGCACTGACACGAGGAGGAAATAATTTAGGTGTTGTCCGCCATATGCTCGACCTCGCCGAGGCCACGGAGCCACCGAACCGGGCGGCGAGCCAAGAGGCCCTGGACGACTTTTGGCGACAGGAGCTGATCGGGCACAACTCGACCGAGTTTACGGACAAGATTGACTTTTACACGCTGGCCATGCTGCCAGAGTACCAGCGTAAAGGGTGCGCCGGACACCTCTTTGCCTGGCTCTTTGAAGCGTCGGCCAGGGATAATGTGCCCGTGTTTGGTGATGCCAGCGCAAAGGCCATCCGCATCTACTGCGCCGTCGGGGCTGTCATCATCGGCAAGATTATGCAGGAGGAGACGACGTACGAACGCACGCTGGGCAACCGGGTGCTGCCGTCCATCAAAGTTCCACGGTTGGAGACGCCCGTAATACGCTGGGACAGGCCTGAGCAAGTTTCTGAGACGCTTGCCGTATACCTTCGTTCTGCACAGCAGGAGAAGGCCAAGTTGTAGCTGCTGACTGACAGCATAATGTTTTGCTACAATGGGCGTTACATTGGAGGAGATGAAGGAAGCAGTGGAGTGACCAAAGATGCACTCGCTTCAGAACTTGTGAAGTGTTTTTGTCTTTCGACTAAATGGAACCATGTCAAGGATGTAGCATCAGGAGGACAGTTTGAGCTCGGGCGATAGACTTAAGCGACTATAATAATCTGGCGCGTCCCGCGATGTGCCTCGCCTTTCTTTGCTTTTCTGATACATTGACGTTGGCTCTTGGTCATACGTGCATACACAGTGACGAACCATTTGAACAATCGAAAATCTCGCAAGGAAATCGGGCGTTGACACCGCCAATCTTCAGCACACCATGGCTCATATCATTGTACTAGGGTGAGAACGACCTGACAAATGACTGCATATGCACCAAGTGAAACATTGACTTACGTGTGTACATTTCATGGCTCGCAGCGCTGGCGTGATCGGCCTGCAAACGTCCCTCGGTTTGCTGAAGAAAAAGTACCGGGTGACACTCGTCTCCTCCCACTGGCCCGCTTCGGACTCTGACGACGCGTATTACACATCGATGCACTCGGGCGCACAGTGGCGGTCCAACCCGGCCGCCGAAGATGTCGAAGCGCAGTCGTGGGATCGCGCAACGCTCGAGCACTGGAGGGAGCTGATCGAGGCGCACTCTCCACAGGAGATTGGGCTCGAGAGGCTGCCCGCGCGTTTCCTCTGGGACAGCAGGCTGGAGCACGCACTCGAGCACGAGCACTGGTGGAGCGAGCAGAAAGTGGTGCCCATCCGCGAGATCAACGACCCGCCAGCGGGATTCGCTGCTGGGTTCGAGTATGAGACCATCGCAGTCAATCCAATCATCTACTGCCAGTATCTGCTCAGGGAATGCAAGCGTCTGGGCGCCGAGACCAGGACACTGCGGGTCAATTCTCTCCTGGAAGCGTTTGACGCGGTGCCTGGCGGCCAAGTCGTCTTCAACTGCACGGGCGTGGCCGCAGGGCCGATGACTGGGGACAAGGCGTGCTTTCCCACCATGGGCCAGCTCGTCCTGGTTCGCGGTCGGGCGAACAGAATCAGCCCGCGTCGTAACATTGACGAACCAGAACCGTGGGAGGCCCTCGTGTTTCCCCGCCCGGGCGAGGATGTGACGGTGCTCGGCGGCTGCAAAATCCCAGACTCGTGGGAGACGGAACCCAGCGACGAGATTACAAGACGTATCATGGAGAGATGCCATTCGATGGCACCCGAGCTTCTGGATGAGCAGGGGAACTTCACCGTTGTCAAGGCCACGGTTGGGCTGCGGCCGTCGAGAAACGGTGGGCCGAGAGTGGAGAAGGAGGATCTGGGTAATAGCAGGCTCGTTATTCACAACTACGGCCACCATAGCGCTGGCTTTGAAGGATGCGTGGGCGCCGCTGAGGCAGGAATTTCTCTCCTTCGGAAGCACTTGTCCAGTCCTTAGTCTCCATGTATCCGTATCAGGTTGATTATCAGCCTGCGGTTTCTGCTGTATGTAGATACATGTTTGTAAACTATACATGGAGCAGGGGTCAACTATAGTGTTATCAGACAAGCGCCAAGTACCTTTGTAAAGTCCCAATTAATCCTCTTCATACGTTCTCGTGTGGCACTGAAGCACTGAATCCCCCTTTCAGGCTGTAAGATTCTATGCCACGGTGACGCAGAATGCTGCACGCCAGGCGGGATGTCTCCCGGCTGTAGCAGACGACAAGGATTGGCACTGAGTTGCCATCTGACAGGTCCTCGACGATGGACTCGATGTCCTTGGCTTGAGCACATAAGATCGACTTTTGATTAAATGGGCTCTCCGTGTCAGACGCTAGACTATCCAGCGGCTTGCTCATCGATCCATAAATATGTAAGTTGCTGAAGTCGCTAGCGGCGCGGAGATCGACAACGAGGCTGCTGCTGGGAGCAATGTAGCCATTTCTCTCGTCTCCGTCTCGGGTGAGGGTAAACTGTCTCACGTTGGCCATGGCCGTAGCCTGCTCCAACGTCAGCTCCCATTCAGGGCTGTACGGACCCTGATCGACAGCTGTGAGCTCCTCATTCTCTATCGAGTGGAAGACGGCGCCCGCCGTCAGCTTCTCAAAGTATTTGTCCATGTACTGGTAGGGCAAATCGCAGCACAAAAAGACGCACGACACGTCTCCCGTGTCTGCGTCGGCATGTGACTGCAGTCTACCGCCAGCCTTTTCATCTTCGAGAAAGTCTAGGAGACCCTGCAGGGCCATCCCGGAAGAAGGCCCACAGATGAGACCCTCGCGAGACAGCCGCATGGACAGCCTGTAGGCCTCGATGGAGCCAACTTCTCTGACCGCATTTGTGACTCTCTTCCACGGAAACTCCACCTTCTCAAAGAGGGCCGACGGTCGTGGCCCGGGTATGGCGTCGGCCGTCTTATTGCATATGCTAAAAACAGGCATTAGCTTCCTGCTCGTGTGCTCAAGGTATCGGAGCCAATATCCTACCCAACAACTGTGACGGCTGGCTTCTTCTCCTTCAGGTATTTCCCCACACCTGTAATGCACCCTGTGATGTAGAACTCCTGTCAACTTGCATGCTACTCAGGGCTTCAAAGCATCAGTTGGACTCACCCTCACTCCCCATTCCAGAACAAAACACGTTTATCTCAGGGAGCTGCGCCATCAGTTGAGGGCCGGTCCACCGGACATGGGAATCTGGATTCTGTGGAGGCGTGTTAGATGTGAATTTAACTTTTCTGGAAAGTATCAGCGATAACATTGGGACCACACTCACATCCATATTCTCATACTGGCCGGGATTCCACGTGCCATCGCTCTTTTGACTCCAATGCTTGAGTCTCTGGATCTCGCCGCGCGGATCTAATATTTCGGGCTGTCCTGGTCCTCCGTACAGATGTCTGCTTGACGCTGTTAGCTGTAATACGCGAAGTGCCCAAGGTGAGGGTACTTGCGGCTTCAGACCAAAGAACTGCAAGGTGCGCAGTCTGGATCTCTCCGTCTTGTTGCTAACAAATGCGTGAACATTGTCATTTCCATGTAATACTCGTGCACACATCGCTACGGAGATGACGGTCGACCCAGAACTGCATTCGACAATGGTCTTTCCCTCCGCTTCTAGTCCTGCCTGTAGGAGCATATTTAGAGCTGTGGAACCTGGTGAGTCTGGTAATCTTGATCGATTTGGAACAGACGTCCAGCGTACCGGGGAGATTCTTCACATTTTGGCACGGTAGCGCTGTCATCATCTTGGCGTAGATTCTGACTCCATTTTTGCGAAGAGGATTGAGTCGATCTGGTATCTCGACGAGGGGGAGGGGCGGCGCAAAGTCTGGATCAAAGTAACTTCTCATGGACTCTGGCCCTTTGAACACGTTCATATTGCCATGGCGCTCCATTCTAATCCAAGTGTCGAATGGTGAATATTGGCCTAAAAAGGCAAGATTGTGACGAGATTAAAATGCTGTATGAGCTGGCCAGGTGACTGAGATAATACGCTTTTATATTTGGGCCAGCCTGGTCTGACATGTAAACAAGCCTGCAATTTGAGGGAGCTGCCAGATACGGTGCTAGCTTGGTACTTTGGTTTCTGGATTCGATAGCCGGATGGATATATATATATATATAGTAGTAGTAATAGTAAGTGAGAGAGCTATGCAGCTGCTGAAAAAAAAAGGGGAAATTCCCAAACACCAAGAATTTAACAACTTGATACTATACCCAGTATCACAACACATTAATATATATATATATATCTCAACTCCAGCTCAGTCTATAGTGTTCATTCAAATAAAGGTTTCAATGAATATGAGTACAATACAACCTGATTGTTTAGTTGATAGTATTATTCATTTAATAGGAAAAGCGATATGAATTGAAAAACGAATATCACCGCACCCAAATTAATTTTAGCCCCGAGTGACCCCTGGTCCGGAAGGTTGCGAGGTAACACCTGCGTTGTGAGCATATACTAGATGCCACGAATCGTTGGAGACAGCGTATGGGGAGAATAGAAATTTTTGGCTGAATTGTAGTCGCTGTGTCAAGGATATATAATACACATATTTCAGTATGTGTTTGCGGGATAAGGACTAAGATATCTTTGTGAGGTCAATCTTCAAAGATTGGAGATATAGGTTATTCAGTGCAGCTTTCATGGGTCAGAGGTTCATGTTCTTTAATAGCTTGGCTAGCTATGTTTTGAAGCTAGCTTGCCTATCTCTATTCATTCCAAGCAGTAGTTGCGAGCCTGTCTTAGCTGCTCCAGCCTGGAAGTTATTGTGCTTGATGGCTTGAGAGCAATCAGGCGTGTCGCACAACTCCATTGCTACAATTATTTCCCAGCACTGATTGATCTAGCGTAATTGAAAGGGTTCCTAAATGAGTGTCTCTCCTGACTTGTCACCAAACTATGTATTTTCCACCTCCTTAGAGATGGACACCTATTCAACCTCGATTCAGTCCCGAGTACCAATTCTAAAATCTCTCCGCACGCTAGGATAGTTCTACATCACAAAAATTCCTTCGTTTCGCAAGAATCCGAGCCCAAGTATCCTAATGTGAAGCGGCGCTAAGTTCCAACTTCCAACAGTCCGTGAGTACTTGGCCCCTATTTCACGACTGTTTTTCTTCTACTCTACAGCACCACGACCGCGCCGAGTGGGAGGCCTACAAGCGTGGGAATCCAAGAAGCTTTAAGTTACCCTTCTGCAGCTTTATGCTTTCACTGCTCTGTTGTTTGTGTACCGAGTTGGGTTGCGAATGAACGGACGTCTCCCACGAAGTTACCTCACTCCTGAAGCTGTGGTTGCTGCTATGGACGAAAGCCATCTTGGAAATTTGGGCTGGGTTTTAAAGATATAGCGAGTAACTGTAAAGCAAGATGCTGCTCATCTACTGAAGGAAAATTGTGGGAGACTGGCATTTATCACTAGTCTTATCACTTTCTCTAACTGCATGTGGAACTCGATGTGCCATTAAACACAGCAGACATCAGATTAAGCTATGTCCTAGTTCAAAAAGTATAGAGTGTTCTTAACACGCACCCCTAATACTTTTCGTATACGTGCGAAGACTCCACGCGTAGGATAACCTCGGCGATTGCTGGAGCATCGAGCGACCCATCATTCATCAAGGCAAAGGTGTATGATCCTGCCTCCAACACACGCTCATACGAGCGATTGATGAGAGGAAGATAAAGGTCCACCTCCAATTGCAGTGTCACGGTAGTAGCGTCTCCCGCATCGAGGTAGACGCGAGTAAATGCGACAAGCTGTTTGTTGGGTGTCGTGACGGACGAACCCTGGCGTCTTAGCAGGTAAATCTACGTCTTTGTCAGAACTGGCACCCACAGTAACGGGAAAGCGTGGGCGGGGCTTCCGTGGTAATGTGACTCACCTGAGGAACATAGCTTCCAGAGACTGGGCCAATGTTGTGGACAAGTACAGAAAACGAAATCGTGTCCCCAGGCGAAAAGGTACACTCCTTCGTTCCTTTAGAGGTAGATTTAGCACCTTGCAAGTCCTGAGAAAACGTCGTGTACGATAATCCATATCCAAAGGAATACTAGGCTCAGGTCAGTCATAAAATTACAAACTCGGTTTGGGTTTGCCAAGGGGGCTGTGGTCGTACCAGGACTGGCTTAGGGACGTCAAGGTAATACGGTATGTGGCTCGCGGGCTTGGTAGTTCTCTGGCTGCAAGTATAGTTAGCACCATACTCGTTCCGGAGAAAGTGATCGCCTTACTTATAATACACGGGAAGAGCGCCAGCGTCATAAGGAACGCTCATTGTCAGTCGCCCACCGGGGTTGACGACCCCAAAGAGCACATCTGCAATGGCTTGGCCAGCCGCTTGGCCTAGAAAGCCCTATATTGTAAGTAGAGGGCAAGTCAGCAAGATAATTAGACGGTGTAGATTGGAAGAGTCTTTGACATACGGTGCTGAGAACTGCAGCAGATTGCGCATAAAACTCGGGGATGGCAAAAGGGCGACCGCCCTCTAGGACAAGTACCACAGGTTTCCCCTGCGCATACATGGCATGTGCAAGTTTTGCTGAAAGACTCAGTCAGAGCTAGTTGATGTACGAGACTACGAGCCATTGCTTACTCTGATCGGTGGATAGGCCGAGGGTGGCACGGTCGCCATTCTCACCGTCACTGTTCCAAGCAGCCCCGACGGCAAGAATAATCAAGTCTGCATCAGCGGTCGCCATCCTTGCCTATTAAGCAACACAAGACGGTGAGCATCGGGACTAATCATGCCTGCGAAAAGAGCCATGCAACTTACTTGACCGACAGGGTCCTTTCGATCGACTAGGTTCCACCAAAACTGGACCTTTGAGTGAACACCAGCGGCGCTTGTCCTTGGCCAGTTGGCGTGTACTTCGCATTCTATTCGAATATGGTGCTTGGATCCAGGCGTAAAGATAAAGCTGGCTCCTCCGGGAGGTGGCTCGGAGCCGTTGTTGGCAGCGTAGGTGTACGGCATAATCTCTTTCAAAACAGTTCCAGCTTTGTTGTCGTCTGATTCTGAAATCAGCTTGCCATCAATATACAACCGCGCGGCCGTCTTTGGTGAAACAGCAACACCAATCCATCCATCGACCGGGCTGCTCACTGGCACTTCAAGCCCGCCCTCCCAAACAACGCCGAAGCTGTTGGAGCTAAGGCCGATGGGCGGATAGAGACCCCAGTCGCGGTTTGGAATTTCAGTAGTCTGAAATGCGGCTTGTTGAAATTTGGTATCGTGGTAGTACGTTGCTTGGAGTGCGCCAGAAGAACCGTCAGTGGACAGAAGATATCCAGGAATCGGATATTGTGAGTTGTATTGCCAGCTATTGGCGCCCCAAGCTGAAACCAGGTCGATACCCGAGTTCGGTATGTTCGCAAGATGTTGGAGAAGGCCTTGTCGAATGGTGCTCGCTCGGTCTGCCGGATTAGCTCCCCATACGCCGGTGTAGGATCCGAAGTTGAAAGTGTCAGCGAATGGGCCAACTATAGCAATTTTTCTGATCCGTTGCTTCAATGGCTGAAGTGGTAGCGTCTCATTTCGGTTCTCCAAGAGTACAATTGAGTTCTGGGCTGCTTCCAGCGCTAGGGGAATATGGGAGATAGTGATGGCCTGAGAGTCTATAACTTCGGAGAGGTATGGATTATGGAAGAGTCCCAGATCATACTTCACCTCTAGAATCTTTCTGACTCGTTCTTGAAGTACTGAGAGCTCCACACCTCCGTTCTTGACAAGTTCAATAATTGACTAGTTAGGCTAGTAAATGGGAGTTTTCTATTACGTTCAAGTTTGTACCTACGCTCACAATGACATCAGGGGTAAAGTCGTAGAGGAAGATTCCTCCACCAGCGTTAAGCCACTGGCGAATGGCATCAGCTGGTGACTCGGCAACAAGATGACCTGTCACAGTCTCTTGTAATCCTACATCTTATTAGAATAGCTAAACAGAGGCAAAACAAAGAACATACCGCACCAATCAGATATAACGAATCCTGTATCAAGAAATGTCAGTGAAAATTTGCAATAGTATTTTGTGGTCTAGAGAATCATTTTTGATAGGTACCGTCAAATGACCATTTTTTAAGCTGCTTATAGAGAAACGGGTCGATGTGGGCAGGTAAATCATCCAATGCTGTATAGGACCTGCACCTAAATTAGTAACCAAAAACATCGAAAACGACTGACGGTATCAACAGGGCACGGAATACATCATGATACCCCTCACTCCACGTGCTTGTTCGATGGCGGCTTTGAAGGGAATTAAGGTCTCCGAGAGAAGCTCTCGGCGACCACGTCCCGCCCACGCATTAGAGTGCAACCCTCCAGATGGGACTCCATGACCAGCGAAATGCTTGACTATTGTCAGCCGGAAAGGCTTGTGAGCTAGGAATGGCGAAGCCTACTTTCAAGACGGGGACAGTAGCATCGGAATCGGACACCGCTCCATTCTTGGATAGGCCAGAGGAATAAGCCACGCCCATATGCGAAACCAAGACGAAATCTTCGCCAAAAGTCTCTGTGTGTTGTCAGAAAACACAGAGTCATGATATAGAAGAAACTTTGGCCATACCCTGGCTTCTTCCATACCGAGGCTCCTTTGCAATATCAAGCACTGGCGCGAAGCAAGCATGAATCCCGATGGAACGAGCCTCTGCACCAAGGGCTCGCCCAACTCGATGAACGAGGTTGATATCAAAACTACTTGACAAGGCGAGGGCTTGAGGGAACACAGATGCTTTGTTTGAGCACAGACCATGGAGGCATTCACCTGTTGCCATGAGCGGAATCTTGAGTCGTGATTTGTCTAGATTCAGAGCCTGGAGAGAGTTAAACTGCGAGTAGTGGGTAGGATACCTATCTTCGCGCTCAGTACAACCCAGATCATAGAACCGCTGGGCTTAGGGGCCTACGCACCAGTCACATATGGCGCCGAGCCCAGCACTTGGGCTAAGTTGGACAAGCTGATCTGTATGGTAAGTGTCTTAGCATTCGCTCGGACCAAGTTGGCGCTTCTCCTACCATAAAGACCGTGAATAGAAGGGTCTCCAACGAGCCAATTGCCAGATATTAGTGGAAGTTGAAAAGCTGTAGTAATTAGTTTACGCTATGCTAAGTCAATAAGTCAGAGGATTTCTACCTAACTCTTCAACGGTAAGCTTGAGGATAAGGAGGTCCAAGTAGGTCTTCTTGTCCTCGAGGTTAACCCTGCTTGGCATCGGCCGAGTTGCGGTCCTCGCCGAGTCCTGTGATACAAATGATATAGTCATAGTAGAGTCGAAAGAGAGTTACATTCAAATATGGTCGATAGCATTGAAGTATGATGGTGTGTGCCTTAACTCGGGATTAAAGACATCAAGTTGGAATTTTTTATATTTCTGCTATCAATTAGTACCTATATATAGGATAGCACAGAGCCTCTGATGAAATACACTACTTTTGTTCGTCCACACTTGGCCTGCATTCATAACGTCATAGTGTAACACGGTGAATTCGGGGAAATTATTAGGCGGTGAAGCGGGGTTACAGTTCCGATAAATTTAATTATTAGTAACTAAGTATTCTTGGTATCACCTATTCATCTCAGAGGAAAGAAAAAGGCATTAAAAATAAACATCTATCTTATAGGGAAATTTGTCTGTTATCATAAAAAGCAATCAGTTTCTTTTTCCTCTTTGAAAGCACCTATAAATAATGCAAGTGTAAAATTAGGAATTATAATTAGAGTGAATATGAGTAAGAGAAAATAATAGTACCGAGCTTCATTCCTCAAGGCTCCTTTGCACAAATCGCGACCGGTTTGGCTCCCCTGCTATGGATTTATCCGCTAAATTTCACCGTTCCCCTGGTCCTGGTTATTGAAGAATGATTGGTGGGCTCGTCTCGTCAGCTCGTTGATTCGCCGCTTCAGTTGAAGCCCGCGGCAAAATTAAGGTACATGTATATGTAAATGGCGCGGGGTTTATTAGCAACCGCCTTTGAATCAGCTGACCTCGAAGTCTGGATGTTCAATGGTCGTGCCAAGTGTGAGGAGTATGCATCGATGCGAGCTATGAATGGTTGATAGCAAAGCCATTGTGTACCTAATCTTATGAGAATGTGCAACACAGCCGTTGTTCGATACCACGCAACAGCGGAGGATATTCTTCTGAGAAAGCCCGGAGAAAAGAGAGATCGACGACCTACACCAACTCTCCTTCGCTGTTCCATCAACGAGTGGTTTATTAGTATAAAACGATAAGAAGATATTTGATTCCTCTCTAATTTCTTTCCCACTGTGGCACGGCACATGATTATAAACCTCTTCAACGAAGTCGCTATGGCTCTTCCTCAATCACAACCAGACTGGAATAATCTCAAGGTGCTCCAACGCAACCGAATGCCCACTCGAGCTCACTTCTATAATTACGCGGATGAAGCAAGCGCCCTAACTTTGGACCGCAACAAAAGCACCCTCTACCAGAGTCTCGACGGATCATGGAAGTTCCACTATGACCTGTCGCCCTTCGAGGCCCCAGATTGGGCGACGAGCGATCCGAACCTATGGCACGACATCACGGTGCCAGGCATGTGGCAAATGCAGGGCTATGGAAATCCCCATTACACGATTGTAAACTATCCGTTTCCAGTTGACCCCC